TATAAACACATCATATTAAACTTATTGTCTTGGCTTGTCTATCACAAAAGGTCTACAAGTAGCTTTGCAGCTCCTGGTTGGAATCCACCACTTCACTGGCTCAAAAAGTGTCAATAATTTTTTTTCTATCCAACAAAATTAACTGTTTCACAAAAGTTCATCTTCAAGTTTCCCACTACAGCGTCTTGAACATACAAAGTATTTGTCTTCATTCTTTGATTATTGAAACTGCAATATAGTTCTGAGACCGGAGACCTAATTGGTACTGAACGCGGTTCGGATCAGCTGGTTTGGATTAACCAAAATAATTTTTACCTACAACTGCTTTTTAACTAGTCGTTTCAGATCAGTTCTTAGAATTGAAAAGAGTCACTTTACAGCATGTTGTTTTACTTTACTTAACATGAGAAATGGTTCGATTCAATGATGTTCAAGGATTGAGAGAAAAGAAATAAAATTGTAATACTTCAAACGTCAACTTAACAGCTGTTAAGACCAATTTAATTTATTAAACAATGAGTGAGTGGTTGGCACAACAATTCGTTGCATCACCATCAGTAGCTATGAAAAGTTACCTCTTTTAAAAGTTACGAGACTTACGAGTAGTGATTTTTAGTAATAAGAAACGGTCAAAGGTAAAGTAGTGTACGTAACTCACGTAATTAGCCTTAACGACACTCATACGAGTTTTAAAGGCACTCGCCAAGGCTTGTATCTTAGGTTTTCTACTTGGTATGTACGCGGTCGTTGCGTAAGCTACTATAAATACAATAGAACCTCAATTATCCGGGAGTCCCCTATCCGTATCACTTCTTCTACTTACTCCGTCACTGGTCTAGGGGCACAAAGTTGGAGGCAATATAAAAACAAAACTACAACCTGGAATACCTCAACACTGGTATTAAACACCAATCAAAACAAGTTCCATAGATTGCCAACATAACAATGTGTTACAGGGGAACAAATATTGACTTATTTTGACTTTACTGACCTAATGAAAGCTTCCTATTTGACTTCAAGGATTGGTTACTTGTGGAACACCAGAGCCAGAAGAATCCACCTTCTCCAGAGTCACACTGCATCTGTAGACAAGCATTCATCATCATCACTCATTCTATGACCACTTTATGAGTGTTAAAACCAATAGGACAACTCAATATGATTTTTTTTTTACATTTACATTTTTCTTAACCAGCCTGTAAATCACTGCTGTTAAAACAGAAACAGTTTAAGACTACTTCCGAAATCGCATTCATTTTATCGTCAATTTTATTTTACTCCAATGACGTTCATAATCTAAGCCTGATATATTAGATATTAGATGGTACAACCTGTGCAACTAGTAGGACGAGTAAGTCTGAGCAAATCTTCTGAAACCACATTATGTATGTACTGACATGAGAGTAAGTCATCATTGCCTTTAAACTCCAGACAAAATACTTGCTTTAATACTTATTTACTTGAATACTTGAAGGCTTCGTCTCTGACTGGAATCCCGGATGCGTCACACTAATTTAAAAACTGAACTAAGATGGCGGCGAGTTAAAAAAGTGGTACGTCATCTAATTCTTTAATAGAGTAGATAGGCCTTCTATGAACCTTTTCCCATACTAAACTAGTATTTCAATGTTTTGTGATATCAGTGAACCTCTTAATATTACACAGGATGGATTTTAGTTAAGATAAATTTGAATAAGCCAACTTACTTATAAATGCAGAAGAGAATTCATCACCAATAGCGTTGCTATCTGAAATAGTACAAAGAAAATTTTAGAAACTTGAATTAAATGTGGATTGAATTGAAATGCAAACTAGGGATAGAGAAGTGGTTATCTTTTTAAGAGTGAACAAACTATAATGGCACTCAAGCAACATCTTACACTCATAAAAGAGTGATGTACTTCGAGGCTCTTAGTTTTGATACAAACTATGAAGATGTTAACTAAATTTTAACACAAAAAAGTTCTGTAACCATCCAGTTTCATTTTTTAATCAATTAAAAATTATTTAATTTACAATTTAAGTGTTAATCCCGCAAATCTGAATTTCAAAGTTTCTAACAAGATCCTACCACATTCTTTTCATGATTTCAACTTTCATGACCTTGGCTAACATCAGCAAATTACTATAAACAAATCATTGAATGTCTCCAATATTTCCGCCACAAACTTGATGATAAATTAATTTTATTTACCATATACACCCAGTAATAACACTACACAATCTAAGGTTCTATGATTTACTAACTATAATTAAGTATCAAAAATTTTAACGTATCTACATTTAGCTCAACTTTGTTTTTTTTTTTAAACAAACACAAACATTTGCCACCACCAAAAGATAAATTCACAAGAACTCATGACCGCAGTAGCCTCACTCTTATCCGGCTTCCTCAAAACTGGAGGCTTCTGGGACAAACCGATGTTTTATCTTAGTTTCCTGATTACTAATCTATAACAATTAATTATATATCCATGGAAATCGGAGGTTGTGAGTTAAAAGAGGATAGTTCAGAGAAACATTTTCAGCTTAATTTTAAGCCTTGATCTTGATTAGGTAAAACGATGTCAATCTTTTGACATTAACAGCCGGTTAAAATGATGTCAGGTTGACAATTAGCCAGATAAAAAGGGAAGCTACTGCGGGTTTCCAAGTAGAAATCGTGACAAAGCCTTTTTATAAAACCTCTAAAACATTACAGCCTACATTGTCAAAATTGTATTTAACAACTTTTATATCAGAGTGAAACACTTAACTGTTATTACGGATTGTAAAATAAAAACATATGACACTTAAAAGACTTGTAAAAAATATAAACAAGTTATTATAAAATTTAGATTGGAGATATGCTGAGAATGGTTGGAGGAGTGTCCAATAGAAATTAAACGTCATTTTACACATATATACTGTCTTGTTAATGAACATAGTATAATTTTATATCTTTGATGTTTTCAATTTACAATCGGTAACATTTTATAGGATGTTTTACTATAAGTGCCTAAAAAGTAGAGCTTTTTAGATTCACGCAAGAAGTTTTTAAGAAACGACTTGTTTTGATACAAATTTATATAACAGAAAAACTATATTGACAAAGAGTAACATGTTCTTTTAGTCATGATTGATTCGTAGCAAACGGATTGATGTTTTATTAAGTACGTAACAACCTAGTGAAAAAGCGGAGCAGAAGATGACCTAAAGGTCGAAACGTGCGTCCTCCATAAATATACTGGATTGATTGACGTAAGTTGTTATTATTATGTTCTTTTAGATAGTTCTGTACTGTTCAAAAGAGGCTAATCTAGTTTACTTTTCTAGAATTTAAATAAAAAGTTTTAACAGTTTAAAAATAAATTTTGATAAACTGGATAAAATTTATATAAGGCACAATGAATTTACTCTTACCAATCCCTGAAAAGACGTAAACCCTTGAATTGAAATCACACTTAGGCTAATATTTAACTAATAAGCGGAAAAAGGAGCACACTAAAACGGTAATCAACCGGGAAATAGGAAAAGAGGCTCTTACCGGGAATTTGAAGTCCTGAAGGAGTGCCGGGGACTTTCAGGAGGATCCAGGAATAGAATCCAGAGGTACTCTTCAAGGATTCCCAGAATACTCGGGAGATTGGCTTACCAGGCAGGAGATGAAGACTCGGGAGTGATTCCAGGATTAGACTTCTTGAGGAATTCCCGGAATCCAGGATTTTTGGCATACCAGGAGAAATTCCAGGATTAAAATCCTTAGGTCCAGGATATGACTCCTTCAGGAGTCCCGGATCCGGGATATGGTGAGATTTCATTTAAGGAATGTAGGAACTAAAATTAAAACTAGAACTTTGGGTGAGTGAGGACTAAATTGACAGTATTTAAGGGAAAGTTAATATAATTTGATATGTGTTGTTAACCAAATGTCTTCTACTACAATTGATTTTAAATCAAATATGTGTTTTGGCCCCTCTCAACCTTGGCCCCTAAAGATTGACTCCAAACAATTGCTTTCTGTCAAAAATTCTTATTGATTGAATTTCAAGCCAGCATATTGTAAGTTTTCTAAAGTTGTAACATATTAATTAAACCCTACCTGTGTACTTATAATTTCACTTTACACATTAGAACAAACTACTGTGCATCTCTTCTTTTCAAGTATACAAATTATGACAGTTTTAGAAAATGTATAGAATATGCAATAGATAAGCTTCAAAACGAATACATATATTTTAGTTTGTGGTTTTTGTTATGTTACTAGATTTGCAATTTTAATAAATAAGTATCAACCAAATTTACACGAACAATCTCTCACATTAAAAGACTTTGTTTGGTGTTAGTTAAAGCCCACAGCATAAAAGATATGCCAGATGATTGTATTATGTTTACTAGTAGTTTATGATGGTGTGATTTACCAAGGCCACACTAAAAAAACAGGCCGTAATGCTCATCAAGCATGACACCACGATAAAAGACGGCAATGACGTAATGTTTGCCGTTTGTGATCAGCTGCTTGTTTTAATCTTTCCTTGGAAAATAAATAAATAAATACCTACGTCATTGCCGTCTTCTATCGTGACGTCATGCTTGACGAGCATTACGGCCTGTTTTTTTAGTGTGGCCTTGGATCTGCTCAGTGATAATAATATATGATATCCCACCCAAGTGCTGCATCAAGATTGAAAATTGAAGATTAATAACATTACTTGCACATAGCAATATTAATAATCTTTGTATAAAATTGAATTTAATTAAACAGTTAAAATCTTACATTTACTTTCATCCCTTTGATTTTCTCACATTTCACATATTGACTTTAAATGCCAATTCCTAAAAGTAAAATAAAAACATTCAAAAGTCAGGTTAGGTGAGGCTAGGTAATTGATCGAATCTGCAGCCAGATGACTCGATCGTAGGAATATCCCAAGAGGTTTTGGAAAGAACAATCAGGTGGAAACGGCGATTCAAATCAAAGAGATGACGGATACAGGATGAGGATGAAATGACAGGCTGAGTTGAAACTTACATGGATTTATAACACATGATATAATACAGGAATGGAAAGGTTAGGCACTAACCTATGTGTATATGCTAACACAAAAACACAAAACCGCGACACATGTCAAATGCCTAGAGAACATAACCTACACATCTTAGAAAGAATTAAAATAACATTCTGCAGCAATAGGTAGTAAAATAATGAATATAAAAACTGAAATATTGTTTGAAATTAAATAAAAAAATTATATATCTATGTTAATAGAAAACATACATGTAGAAGTAAACTTAAGTGGCCTCAGTAACGATAAAACTGACAGGGTTAAGTTTTTGGACAATCGAAAATCAACGTACAAAAAAGATAATAAAGTATGACCTTAGAAAATAACCTGATGCAAAAACAATTCAAAAGTTAGATAAAACATAAATAATATGAGTGACGATCATTATAAGACAAAAATAAGAATTAAAATGTAACATTATACTGACAAAACTTGCAGCTAGGGAGGACAGCAATGTTCAAAACCTGAATCAAATTGAACTCTCTTATATTGTTATTTTGTAAATACATTAAGAATAGTTTAATTGAAAACAATTCTTTTGAAAAAAGTTGACAAAAAACGACGTTGAGTGATCAACATGTGTTAGAGGAAGCTTATGAAATAATAATAAATTAAAAATAATCTTGTGAACGTTAGCAGGTTGCAATTACAAATTTGTTAAGGGTTAAGGGGTAAGGATAGGTGATATGCTATGTAGCTGATTTTGTGACTAGTCTTCAGCTTAGTTATAGTATGATAAAAATAAATTTAAAGTTACTTTTTAAACCTAGTTTTGAAAATCATAAAGTTATACTCAACCTTAGTACTCCTTATTTTTTTATAAATTTCAATCAAAGAAGAAATGAATAAATAACTTTTTTATAGAGGTAACAAATTGCAAAATAATATTAACTCCACGTTGAAGCTCAACACTGATAAGATCCCAAGGTATCTCATTGAAAAATAAGAGTAATAAAACTATCTTAGAAAAATTATTTAAATATATCTTATCTTTATATAGCTTTCCTAAAGGTAGTTTGGCTGATTCTTTGCCTCTTCTTTGAGTTCTTAGGGTTTTTAATATTTCAAGGTAATTGTTAAAGGCCTAATCCAAACTACCACAAAAGTCATAACCATTACTCTCAAAACATATAAATCATACTCAATAATATAATTAGAAAATACTAATGGAATTTCATTCTCATGAGAAAAGGTTTCCCAATTAGTTTTATATTCCACAGTCAAATTTAATCATTGTCAAAAACAAGAAAGAGCTTCAACTTTGTTTATAGATGCACAATTTACATATCAAGGTTTAAGAAAAAGTCAACCTTTAACATTTTTTAAATAATCTATTTTTCTCCTTATTTTAATTTTTCTACCCTAAACCCTCTAAGGTCACCCCCTCTCTAGGCCCTCTAGGACTCTCTAGGCCTATAACTTTGTTACCTGCAGCTTCAAAATAGAGACACTACAGTTTTTTTTTAAACAACACTTTACCAACCTTTATATAAAAGTTAAAGGATTTAAAGGTCAGACTATTGGAAAGTAATTAAAACTATCACCTATTGTCCTCATCTCATTTTTCCTACCATCAAAACCGAGTTTCAAAATATGGCCCTAAATTCCTTCAAACACTTTCCCAACCTGTCACATAACCCACCTAGCAGGAAATACATCTAGTCTCAGTATGGTGCGAACTTGCTCCTCTCGCTCTTGACCTTGCCATCGCCACCACTGGGGCTACGTGGTGCCCGCGGCTGGTACGTCTTGCTGCGGTGGACGCCTGTCGTCTGCACAGGGGGGTTGCTGCCCCCCAGGAAGTCAGTGAGGCCACCCAGCGCTGTCAGAGAGGAGAGGGCATTCAGAGCTCCGGGCTTGGCCAATAGCTGTGCCAGAGGGATGGCAGACGCCAGGGGGTTAGGAGTGCCAGAGGCCGAGGTGGAGTTAGATGCTGTAGAACCAGACGCTGATGGGTTCTGGGCCTCCAGGTTGGCTTTTTGAAGCTCCACACTAAAGAAATTCGGAAATTCCGGTACAGATAACAATAATGCACGTGCACATTGCACTTAGACCTGTATTTTACAAGTATTTCACTAAAAAAAACATCACAAATGCAATCTAGTTACAAAACAGGTGTTAAGCAGTCTGTTCCACAATTGTAACTAGTATTAAGTAACCTGTTAAATATGGGAACTAGTATGAAGTAACTTATTATTAGATGGGAACTAGTATGAAGTAATCTGTTATTAGATGAGAACTATTATGTAGTAACCTATTATCAACAACTTTTAAAAAGAAAAAAGGTTACAGCTTATTGGTGTATACGAGTAAAAGGTATGGCAAACAAGATAGGCATTAGTTGACCTTTTACTTGTAAACCTGGTCTGAAGTATCACAGAAACTGACCTACAAAGAGCTTTGAAAAAAATTTAACGTTTAAGACTGTGCAGAATAACCTAGTTTTATTTGTTTGAATCAACTGAATATACTGGAATCCGTCCCAATCAAGCACTCTGTGTAATCTTACTTGTCTCTGTCACTTGTACTCTGTATCATGGTTTGCAAAAATAAAATCCTGAAATTACAATCTTAAACTGTTGATTTAAGCTTACAGAGACATGGCAATGAAGAGTCAAATTTAAATGTTTCAAGGTAATGTGCCTCACCTCATATTGATGAGATACTGTGCTAGCGCGACGGCATCAGGGTTGCCAGTGATAGTGATGGTTCTGTCTGTAGAACCTCCCTCCCTGGTCTCCTCACAGTTACTTATCCTGATCATAGCTCCACTGATCTGTCTGTGAACCATACAAAACATTACATTAAGAACATTGGTGCAAGTAGTAATATCCATTGAAACTTCTAGCTTACAAAGAAACTCAACCGATCAAACCCTTGTAACTTCAGAAAGCATCTGCAAAGAGTGCACAGTAAAAAAATTCCTTTTTCGCCACGATTGGGGAAGGCTATTATGATGTCTCCGCTACCATGGGAGAGATCCATGTTTTTTATTTTATTTTTTTTCAATTGAAATGTCTGTTTTTTCAATGTCTCCATGATCATTGGGGAAGTCTCCTGCAACCGTGCAAGACGATGATGATTTCTTTGTATCCAAAGAAAAGCACAATAGTTTTGCAATGATGGATTATTATGATGACAACGTGATAAATGAACTTTAAAAATAAATTAACAATTTTTCGAGGTGGGAATCAAGGATATTAATGAAAGCGTTATGTTAAGTTTACATGTTTGGAAAATGGAAATTCACCACTGACATCGATATCGTAGGAGCATGAGATCATTGTGTCGCATAAGATGATCATGATTCCACGGAAAATCCAAGGCCACAAAAGTCTGTAGAATCAAAGTTTTCTCAATACTGTTGTTATTAATAGTTTTGTGGAATCGAGGATTGGAATTGGCTCATTACTTTCTCAAGGTTTGCCAGGTTGTTTCATGATAGAGTGGGGAGACCCTGCATGTATAGTATAGTGAACAAAAGTGGAACAGATTACTGGTATCTACCTGATCTCCGCAATCTTGGTGCCTCCCTTGCCAATGATGCAGCCAATCAAATCATTAGGCACAGTCATCTCATGAGTCTGCTGGTTTGTGTTGTTTTGTGTGTTGTTCTTCTGGTTGTTAGTTCTCAGCTGACTCCCAGCCAGTGCAGCTAAGGCTGCAACAATTGAAAATTTTTGACATTTTTGGTCCTAGTATTTAGCGTCCAAACCTTTTTTATTGCAAACAAAATTTTGTCACTTCCTTCTATATTCATTTGGCAAAACATTTCTTTTGGAAAACATAGCCTAAACAATTATTTTACTTGATGAATTTTAGCTAATCAACATACTAGAGATTCTAAAGACTAAACTGTAGGGGTAAACTCAAGTTTTTACAATTACCTACTCAAGGTTGAGGTTTAAGTACTCCTTACAAAAGTTGTTGAGCTCCAAAAAAAGTTTTATCACTGTTTTACTATTGCTTGTTGACTTTCGTTAGCACTGGGGTTAAATGCAATCCTAAACCAATTTAACATTTTATCATGGCAATATTAGTTTTGTGATGGCAACTAAATTTCCACTTTGACTCATAAAAACTTGCTTAGGTTGTGTTCATACAGTAATTTTTGTTGTAAACATTCAATTTTCCCATGCCGCTGCCTACTGATCTAAACCTATGTTGCTAGCCTAGTCTTTAGCGTCTTGGACTACGGTGTGGGAGGAATGGGTACTTGAATTATTAGTGTTTAAGGAAAATCTAAGTTATAATACAATGTAAAAACAAATTTAAACGATAGAACATGCAACATTCTCATTAATATTAAAAACTACAAAAATTGGACTAGTAAAACAGACAGCTGATAATATTTAAAAATTCATATCATCTGAAGTAGGCTATGACTATGACAAATCAAATAGGTAACAGTTTACCAAAGGCAGGCATTTTCATACTTTCCCTTAATTGTAGGGGTGCCGGAAAAGTCGGTACTACAGCCTGTAATGCAGTTTTAAACTAGTTTTCATGCCTGACTAATTACTTAGAATTCACTATTGGGAGTCAAAAAGTTCTTTTTTCTCAAGCCAAACAACAAAACGAATGAGGCAAGCCAAATTGCACAATGGATTTACATAGTTGTCACAGTCTCAATTTGAGTACAAGCAGACGTGATGTAAGCAAGAGTAGTTTGTACAAAGTATTTATAGTTTTTTGTGTGAAGTTAATAGGTACACTATTTTACTTGAACAAAAGAGATTTTTTTCTCTACTTGCTATCCAACCTTTGGCTATTCTAATGTACATAAGGGGTTCTTATGTATATAGCGTTGTGTTAAAACAATATAAGGGTATATGTTTTGAACGGTTATAGACATCTTTTTATTTAATTTCCAAGCTTTATTTCAATTTACCTGCAGGATTTAATCCGCCGCCACTTGAGTTGAGTCCACCAAGACCAAGTGCTGCCAATCCGGCCAACGGACCAGCCCCAGCCTGTCACAATGTAACCAACTTAATACAATGAATCAGGGAAATATTCAACAATAAGTTTACTGTTTCTGCAACTAAGGAGGGGTAGAAGAAAATTATTCATACCCTCTAGAACACTAGAATAATTAAGGAAAAGCAATTAGCTTAGTTTTTACGCCTGACAAACATAAAAAAAAATTTATATTCATTCAATGGATGCAGAGAACACTTTTATTTTGCATCTTGAGAAATTAAATTCATATTTCCGAAAGCAATTGAATTTTTAACACCGAACTGATAAAAACAATCATTCTGATAATTACATCTATATATATAAAAGGCAAAGCCCTCACTGACTCACTCACTCACTCACTCATCACTAATTCTCCCACTTCCCATTTAACTAGGAGGCTGAAATTTGGTACACTGATTCTTTAGGCATTAAATAGGAAAACTAAGTTGTTTTTATCCTGATCGGAATCTTGGGCTCCGCCCCAGTGGCTCTGGAGTTTCCCATGTTAACCGTATGATTTTTCATATTTAAAAGGAATAAATGAATCTTAACAGCTGTTTCAATTAAACAAGTTGGTTCTATTTTATGATGTTCAATAGCATTTTAGTTACAAGGATTACCAGCAGGGTGCAGCACTATTATTTTTTTAATTCATGACAACAGCTAATTTGCAACCAAAAGGTGAGTGAGCGTAGCGAACGAACTTCAACCTGGAGGCGAGTTAGCGTAGCAAACGAGCTAACCTGAAGGCAAGTGAGCGCAGCGAACGAGCTCCAACCTAAAGATGAGTGAGCGTATAGCGAACGAACTTCAACCAGGACGTGTGAGCGCAGCGAGCGAGCTCCAACCTAAAGGTGAGTGAGCGTAGCGAACGAACTTCAACCAGGACGTGATTGAGCCATGCGAACGAGCTCACGTATGAAGTTAAATGGGGCAAAGCCCGCGGGTACAGCTAGTTATTAATATATAGGCCTAATGACAGAATAAAATAGAATACTTAACAAATTAAGTTGACTTTGAATGTTTATTGTTACTGGTAGTTCATTAAATATATACAGGGTGTTTCGAAATTCTCTCTCGAAACTCCGTGGTCATGTTCGTTAGGTCAAAGCAAACAAAAAATGTCATATAAACACATGTGCTATCTCGCTTCGTTATCTGTCTGTCAGTGTGTATTTCTTTTTTACATAACTTCCCATAAATTTGGATAACCACTTGAGGTAATATTTTTTTGCAAAGCATCAAGTTTCTACTTGGTATAATCTCAAAATGGCGGCCATCTTTATTTTTCAAAGCTTAAGAGTCCTTGGAGGCTAGAGGCCATCTTGGATTATTTCAAACAACTGTTGAAGGGGACAAATGATCTATCCTACTAAATTTATCTGGTTAACTCTAGATAACTTATTTTAAAATGTGATAAACTATCATTAGAAAATTCTCAAAATTCTGAAATTACATATTTTACTGCTACCTTCCAACTCTACCCTTCACCTGTCCCAGTGTGAATCAAGATTGTCTATAGTGATGGCTACTTATTTTAAAAATAAATATATATACTTTTATTTAACTTACAGTGTTATTTCCTGGATGGATCAACAGATCAGCAATGGAGTTTCCAATATTCAAAAGACAATGGTTTGGACATTGCCACATGCAATAATATTTACTTCAAGTAACTTCTAAAGTTAAACATTATTATGTACTGTAATTATGGTTGGTTTATCTTAGTTACATAATTTAAGGCATTTAATCATTTAGAAAAATTATTAAATTACAAAAATGTCTAGCAATTTTAAATGGTAATTTAAGTTGATCTTACAGCAAATAGTTTAGCAATACTATGGTAAACCTCTTTTGAACCACACCCCCAAAGCCAAGGTTAATCATAACCATAAAAATTCTAGTTATTTGGAAACAAATAAGACAACAGCCAAATGTACGCCGAGGCGCAGATCGTTGGTCCGGCTTCGCCCAAGTCATTGCCACCAAATTAGATTTTAAGATAACAGTAATCATAAAAACCTGCCATTGATTTCCTGAAAAAAGGTTATTGGAAATGCCTTACCCACTTTATTTAAGCTAGTCAGGATGTTATTTAACTTTCAGCAAAATAATTAAAAAACAATCATCATAAGGTATAAAAACTTGAGAACACCAATTTTTAACACAAAATATAGGCCTAAAACATAAAAATACGGCTAAATAACTAAATACCTTTAAAAATAACCTATAAAAAACTAAAAAAAAAACTAAATAAAATATAATGATTTAATGCTACATTTTTACATTTGCAATATATAACAATTTTTCTTTACGCCTTTTGTAATTCAGCTCCTGCGAGTTTACTTAACATGTTTAAAATCTGAAATAAAAAGAAAATTTACAATAAGTTAGCAATGGTGAGATAAAAGGGTGAATGAATAAAATATTTTATGAAATTGTAGTGAGTTCATTGCCATGAATGTGTTATCACTGCTTTGTACAGACCACAGTAGACTATTTGCGACTGATAGCAAAAGTAAAGAACTGATAACAGAACAATTATTATTGTTTCAATCTTAAAAATGTTAAATAAAATGAAAAAAATTGGGTTTAAAATCAGATTTATTCATATTGATATCAGGTATTTATTCATATTGGGTATCTATCATACGACTAGTCGTCAATTTCACTGATAAGTTTAAATTTTATTTATCTTTTATTCATTGTACAATTTATTTACGAAGTACATATTATTTGCAATATACAAGTTCTTTATGTATTGTTTGAGTTACCTCTCCATTGGCAGGCACAGCGTAGTTGCCTTGTATGGTGTATGCCTGTCCACCAGCCAGTATTACGGGGCCAGACATGGGGGGTTTGGGGCGATACGGGATGGTCGCTCCTTTAGGCGGACTCTGCAAACATTAAACATTAACTTTAAACATTAAACATTTTATACTAAACCAACTCATCAAAATATAGTATGCATACAAGAAAACAAGATTAAGGTTTTAGGTAGACATTTCAGATAATTTTTCCAGCTAAATAAATAATAAATAAATCTACGTTGAAAGGAACAGATGATGTGGCTCAAAAAATGTTATACCAGTAACTATAAAATTCCTCAAAAAAAAAAACTTACTTAATGATATCAATTAAAATTCACAGAAAACCCCCGAATAATACCATTTTCACACATATTTCCCGGTTTTTTCACAGCATAACTCCCTTTTTTCCCGGAATTCCCAGTCGCTGAAAACCATGAAAGCAGTATTGAGGAGTTTTGGAAAGCTTCAACTCTACAAATAAACGAAAATGTTGGGGAAACTCCCCCTAGAAAACTTAAAAGAAAGCAGTGAGTTCAGCTTAGCATTACAAATTCAGGTAGGCCTAGTTATAAATGTAAACTTTGCAATTCACAATAGACATTCTTTATCATCCAGGAATGCAAGAATTACCTCGAGCATGACACAGCAGATGTGGAAGATACACTGAGTGATGGCGTCGCTGGTGCCGGTGATGGTGACCGCTCTCTCTGTGCTGTTGGGCAACATGTCAGATGCAACTAGGATGTTGGCACTGGTGATCTGTTACAAGACAGCACAATAAATATATTACAGGGTAATCACAGAACTCCTGGAAAAATGTTATGTTATTTCTTGGTTTACTCGGCAGAAAAGCTTGGTTTTCCCAGTCGTGATTGATTGTAAGTCACCAATTGTGTAGTTTACTAAGGGTCAGCGTGCTGCGAGTCATTGATATTTTCTGGTCCATATTTTCTTTCTTATAGATATTTTCTTATAAATATTTTTTTCTTACAGATATGACTCGAGGGATAAGAAACGGAATGGAAATTTAAAATCAGATGGGATGGGAGTTGGTGACCTTACCAATTTCTCGAATCGAATCCAGTAGAACTAAGCGCATTTTAAACTGCAGAAAGTATTTGCGAAGATGTGCGATTGAATGAAACAATGATGTCGCTGTGACCTCAAAAGATGTTTTTAATTTTGAAGTAATCTCGGACGATGTTCTTGATTTTGCCGTGACCGTGAAAGATGTTGTCAATTTTGCCATGACCGTGGAAGATGTTCACCATTTATTTTGCCATGACCACAGAAGATGATCTTAATTTTGCCATGACCATGGAAGATGATCATGATTATGTTGTGACCGCAGAAGATATTCTCGATTTTGCCGTAACCTCAGATTCGAAATTATGCAGTAACCTTAAAAGATGTTCACGATTTTGCCGTGACTGAGGAAGATGTAATAGATCTAACCACGACTACAGATGATGTTCACAATCTCACAGTGACCAAGGACCGATGTTCTCAACCTCGCCAAGACTGTGGAATTCAATCATGATTTTGACGTTTCCGCAGACTAAAATCAAGCTTTCCTGTTAATCTAAAAAATTCCCAAATAGTTAAAGAAATCCAAAAGAAATTAGCGCTCACTGAAACAATCCAACAAAATAACATGAATACATAACAGGATGAGAGAGGATAACATGAATGTGTCTTAACTGTAGGCCTGCATATGCTAAAAATAATCGTTAAACTTGTTACAAAAAATACTCTACCTAATTCTTAAATTTTTGTTTTGATAATCGAGTTGACTCAACACAAAAACAGTTACTAGCCCACACTAAAAATTAAACAAGTGATGAATTTGACAGTTCCTACCTCCCTGATCTCCTTTATCTTGGAACCGCCCTTGCCGATGAGAGAGCCACATTGCGAGGCAGGTACGATGAGCCGCAATGTGATTGGTGGACGACTCACTCCACCTCCTCCACCCATCCCGTGCAGCTCCTGAAACTGTGGAGGCAGACACCAAATAACATTGTGAATCAAGTTAATACAAGATTACAATAGGCTTAATTAGTTACAGATTGTATTCAGATATCCACACTACCTACTGCATTAATTTATTCAGGCAAACTGAAAGCTACAGCAAAAATCAAATATCTTTACCTCTTCCAGTTTCTTACAGATGAGTTGAAAGGCTTTGAAGATGGCGTTTGTCTGTCCAGTGACGGTGACAATGCGCTCAGGACATGATCCGTCTGATATGTTGATTCTGGCTCCAGACTGCATCAAGAATCAATCTTTCAGTTATGTTAAGAAACTTTTTTTGCTAAGATTTAAATTGTTCGATGATGTTTACAAATGTGGGAAAGTTAACATAATCTGAAGTTAGGACAACATTGTTACAATGTAGAAAATATACACAAGTTTGAAGAACATTCAGGCTTTCAGCTTCAGCAGCTTTCAGGCTTTGCAGTGGGTGATCAACAGTTGTAACCATCAAGACAAATCAAATCAAAATTTATTTTATTTTGTTGCAAATAAACTATTTAAAGGCATTTTACAAATATTATAGCCTATGTACAATTTAGGACTGCAATTACTAAAATAAAAATATACAAAATTAGTCCCACATGGGTGAACCCGTACAATGCAGAACAGTGTTAAAAGTTGAGAAACCCTTGCTTGCCGATCGAGTTAAGGACAACCAGGGTTTACTATGTCCTCCGTAGCCTCAAAGAGATATGCCCAATCAATCTCTTTTTCAGTCATAAATGAAAATTTTACATAACTTGGTCACTGCCTAAGGAAGACTGATGAAAGAAGTCTACAACTCAGACAACAAAAATATAATCACAGAACGTCATTACGCACTTGGTAGGAGTGCAATTTTCCATTACATACTTTTAGGCTACTACGACAAGAATAATGATTCCATAATGATTCCATGGGGGGGGGGTTAGCTAGTTTATCTCAGATTTGAACCAGCTCCCATGGTTGTAATGGGAGCTTGTTGAAGGTCTTAAATTGCAGACTCAAGCCTCAAATAACACAAAACACTTACACATACAATATTACTGTAGCTCAGTGTAACCCTTACGGTAGGCCTATAATGATTTTGATAGCAGTAAAATTATATGTTTCCAATAGTCTAAAGTCAATGCAAACCACATTGTAGACTACTAACCAATAAACAGAGATTCATGAGTTCAGTTTTGTTTTCTGTTACAGGAAAATTTTGTTGGCAGAAAAAAGTTGTTAATTTACAGATCAACTAAATCAGTAAATGAGATGCAAATTGTGCAAGGGCTAAAAAGGAGTGAGTTTTAAGTTCCAAATCGGCTTTGAGACTGTAGACTGAAACTTAGGAAATTCATTTATGTAGCAAAATGGCAGCTTCCACTTGCATTAGAGAGTTGCATCTGAATTTATGACAATTGAAACTAATGATTTTGTTGCATAACGGTTTTTTGTTTACCAAATTATACACTATTCCACACAGTGGAAACACAGGTCTATAGGGAAATATTTCCAAAATTTACCATAGGTGGGAACTGATATGATAGTAATCATTGGAACATTGACAATTTAGCACTGTTTAAATGTGCATTGTCTCAAGATCATATGTTTGATACTTTTAATATTGCAGTCTTTGCGTTTTTGTGTGATGAAAGAAAAATAAAATAAGGGCCTATGGATTCCTTTCTATAATATATTTGTTTCTCATTAATTTAAAAGTTTATTCTCATAAGTCAACTAGAGAGAAAATACCTTAAATAATGTGTATCAATAGTAATAGGTCTATGCATAATATTATTATTTCGTTCTTTAAGAAACTAAAAAAAGTATTAAATGTAGGCAACAATTTTAAAGGAAAAAATATTATAAAACCAAATAAACAGAATATAACTTTGGAATTAGCTTACAACTAAATCTAGTCTAATGGACAACTTAGAATTTATCAAGGATCGTGAAGAGAATTTTAATCTGACAGCAAACAAACTCACCTCTTCTCTGAACCGTTTCACAATCTCTCCCTTTTTGCCAATAATGCTCCCGACCTCCTAAAACAAAAATAATACAATTGAATAAGATCCTCTGGATTAAAATAATTTAGGAAATGAGAATCCAGAAAGAGCTTGCAATAATATTTAATATTACTATCAAAATGAAATCTATTTAATCAAAATTTGTTAAGCAATAAATCAATTTGAGACTATTAAAATCATTGAGATTTTTGCAAAACTATACTGTACAAAATTGGATTCTTCACTTTCAAAACTCTTTTTCAAATTAATGATCGATTCTTAGTCTTAGCAAACAAATAGGTCCTGTTCTAGCCTGATAAACAATTCACTACAGTAAACTTAAGAAATTATAATGAAACATAAATTATTATTCAATGGAAAGGCCTAGGCCTATATTAAAATATAGGGCAATTCCACGGTGTCGGACGTAGATTTCAGACACATTTTTCTGCTATTTTAATGCTTTAAAATTACTTTTTGTAAAAAACCTTAATCTTTAGTATTTTTATTTGAAAGAACAGTTCTTTAAGAACATTTTCATATGTAACATTTTTTAAATTTTAAAATCTTTAATGGCTAAACAAATTTTTTTCTGCGGTGTCGGACGTAGAGTGCACAAAATCAATATTTCTTTTTTCCTTATTTGACTTTAAAAATCTGTGAATTTTAAAGAGATAAAACAACAGAAAAAATCATGGATGTAAAGAAACTTATTAGCTTTAAAAAGAGCCTAGGTTCAAGTTTTTTGGTTCAATAGTTTTGACACAAAAAAAAAATCTCCTACGGCGTCGGACGTAGAATTTTTGGTGTCGGACGTAGGTTGTGTGATTTTTTTTAGATTTACAAATAATAGGTAGTAATTAAATGTAAAAAAACGTTCACAATTTTATATGAACCCTTTTAAACATTTATTCATGCATTTAAATGAGCCTGAGCAAATAAAATTACTAAAATCCTCTATACCTGGGTTTAAAATATTTAAATTTCGAACATTTACGTTGCACAATATGGTTTGACATTTTACCTTCAGGGAAAAAGTAAAAGACTGATAAACACTTTACATCTTTTATTAGATATTTTGCTTATTTAACTTAAAAAAGTTACAGCTTCTTAATTCCTACAAATTACCCATTCTCTAAAAATTAGTCTCTTTAAAAAAAATAATGAAATGAAAAATTCATGGGCACTTTGGGTTATATGCCTAAAAGTAAGACATGAGAAAATGTGTTCAAGGTTCAAGGGAGCACATCTGGAAGTGGACCGATGATACTTTTAAATTTATAGTGGTCTCTTGTTCCTCCGTAAGGTTCAGGAGGCTCAATTTTCTTCACAATGTCTTTGGCTTTGTACATAATACAGTCTTCATCAGTTGGCCAGAAATAGTATGCACCTGACTTGGAGCAATGCATTACTTTCACTTTGGCTTCATTTTGTTCAACACTGTACTTCACCTGGATAGTAATCATTATCGTATTTAACCACAACCCAGTCTTTTTGAGGCACTAAATCCTGAAGGTTTAGGTCATTTCTCTCTATTTCGAAACGCTCGCCATACTCCTGTTCTGAGTCATCACTGTCCGAAGACTCCGGATTTTGAACAATTTTTACTTTTCTTTTTACTAAATCGTCGCTTGTGTCGCCTACAATTAAGAAATCTTTTGATCCAGCTGCCGTCACATAATGGACTTTGTGAGTGTTAGGTACTGGTACGGAACACTCCCATATTTGCAGACCCTCAATCACTGCTTCTTGAATATCCTTACTTGAAATGAACTTAACTAAAACATTGGGGTTCCTTAAAGCAGCAATCTCGGCAAAATCTTCTGCTGTGCTCAGAACATGACCTGCATTGGCTTTGCAATAGTTCCAAACACTTCTCTTAACGGTTCCTCCTATGGCGTCAACCACACCTTTGCCGTGGGAAGTTGCAAAGAAATGCCAGTGGATCTCAACCTCAAACTTACTCTGTAGAAAAGGGAGAACTGAAAACATAAAGCGATTCTTGAATTGAGCTGATGTTCCATCAGAAAATACATTGACCTTAGTAATATCTGGTTGGATTGATTTTAGTTGTTGTAGCAAGAAGTTCAAATAACAGTAAATTTGATTTTTTGTGTGCTCCAGATCATCAGATACAATAACACAGCTTTGACTGACATTTTCCGCAATCCAAGCATACGATGTAAAGACAGTAGCCTGGCTATGGGTCCAATGTGCTGACTGTATTTCATTTTGGTGTAGAATGGTCGCATTTTCTGAAAAATCCATTTGAAGTAAAATTTCATTTCCATTTACGCGTGTTTTGATCTTCTAGAACTCATTAGCTTGTCTCCTCTTGACGTAAGTATGGATCAAGAAAGGTTTCAACTGAGTTGTCAACTCACAAAATGCTTCCTCAACCGAACTCAATATTTCGATTTTCTGCACGTGCCCATCAACCTTCTGCCACTGTAAGTACTTTAGGGGTACATTTTCCCCTTTTGGTTTGTACAAATCAATCAGATTGACGCATAGATGGCATCCTCTAGTCATGCATAGTTTTGATTGCGAGTCACAAACAACTTTGTCAATAAATGATTTAAAAGTGGTTGAAAGTCCTGTGTGTGGTTCTAGAGACACTAATAATAAGCGAATATTCTCATGATAAGAGCACACACAAACATTGTGTGGGATAAATTTTACATCTAACTAAACTTAAAGGTTCTTTAGTGCAGGTTAATTGAGTACTATGATAAAAACTCAACTTAGGGTTTTATAGTATATGCAGCATGTTACGGTATTTAACATACACTACCCAATTTTAGTACTTTGGTGTCGGACGTAGAGTCGGACGTAGGAAATATTTTCTACGTCCGACACCATGATTAAAAAAAAACCATACATGATAGATTTTTTTCCAAACATGGATCATTTAGACCTATGTAAACTTGCTTTGCATACTAGTTTTCAAGCTTTAAAAAAAATCCATCTAGCCACAGTAAAACTAAACGTACATTTTTGGTGTCGGACGTAGAATTTAATCTTTCTTAATGTTAAACATCTGTAGGGTGGACAGAAAACCTTTTTCTTAATTCTAAATTGCATTAATATTTAGCTTTACTCTTAAACTATCAAAAAAATAATTCATAAGGCTTATTTGAGTAAATTTTGTTTGTTGGTTATGAAAATAACCAACATGGTTGTAAATCGGAGTGAAAAAAACAAAAAACGGTAGTCTATAAAAAAACATGTATATATTTTTTATTTTTTTTTTTTTTTTGTAACCAATGTTATGAGTGGAAAGCTACACTAACGAGCTTTCCAAAAATGTATAACAGTAATGGGTTTGATAAAGTTGACAAAAAAGTATAGAGGTTGACCATTTTATGGAATTGCCCTATATAAATTTGTGTTAAAGAACAACAAATTTATCTTCCAACCAAAGCTGCAAGTACTTAAATTTAACTGAAGTTTTTACACTATATAAAACAGAATTGACTCTGAACTGACCTTTCCCTGCATGATGAGTCGGATTGTAAGTGTAACATTGTCGTCATTGCCATTGGTGGCGTCCATAATGACAGCTGTAACACAGTAGGTAAATCAAAAAGACAACCAAATATAATAGGGGAGAGTGGTACAAGGTGGGACACGGTATATAGTGGGACATTCCATATAACTTTTTTTTCATCAAAGCCATGTGGCCAGTTACCCTCCAAAAGTGTTAAGTCATGGCCAACAGTGTGTTTTAAGTTTGTTCTGAAGTTTCAGTCATGTTGGAAAGTATTGAATGACAGTCTGCTACAACTATAGTCTCAAAAGTTACATTTTTGAGGTAAGCAATCATCATTTTCTTATGAAATTAGTTTGATAAACAGGTTAAATATGATATGCCTAACATTAAAAAACCTTCTTTGTTCAATAGAAGGAGGTCAGGGATGTCTGAGCTGCACTGTTTGGAGTAAAACTTATATTTGTGGTATATAGTGGGACAATGTTAAATAAGGTGGTACAAAGTGGGAAATTGGTACACATAGTGGGACAAGCAATTATAATTGATTTATTATACTATTATAGCAATTCATAATAGGCTATAAATACAAGCATACCCATATAAATATATGACATGCCTCATCTGCTTGGTAGGTTACCTAGAATAGGACCGAGGTTTAAAAAAAACCCCTTAACTTACTTTTCACGGTAAACCCTAACGCGGTTTACCCAGAAACACAACCATTGTCAATTTTGTGTTAGGACTAGGTATTTTTAAACTGTTTAATACTTATATTTTCAATTAAACAATTTCTTTCTACTTTTTTACCTACTTATAAAAATACAGTTTTAGCGGGGTCGGTTTTATGCCAAAGTAGACCTACATTTAACTCTTAAAATATAGACATATTCATTCACATCATAGTTATTCAATAAAGAACATTATAGTGGAATTTTACAAAAAAAAATATTTTTTCAGGTCCATAATGCCAAAGATTTGCTGCATGAAGAAGAAGTTTTTGGAGCATGCAGAAGATGGAGCAATTTCGAGCCTTATAGCCTAGTTAAATTACTAACTATGTACTCTAAGTTTTTACAAGTCACATATATCAATAATTTTTTAATTTGTCTGAAACTATCTTATTTATGTATACCTCATATGCATAACAGGATGTCCCACATTGTACCATTTATTGTCCCACTTTGTACCATATTGCTGTCCCACCTTGTACCAGGGTCGGTACATGTTGGGACAACTGGTATAAAGCGGGACAAACGGTTTTTGGCCTTTTAAATATATGTTAATAATTTTGAAAAAAAATAGCATTAAAAGTGTTTTAAAAGTGCTTTATTTTTGTGTAAATATTGTTCTTCTAAGTCAACAATCATTGAAAAAAAAATGAAATGAAAAATGAAGTTTGTCATTGAAGAAAAAAATGTTTTAATATTTTCGTCCCAGTATGTACCACTCTCCCCTACAGCCTTGAGTAAAACGAAAGCTTAAAAACACTTCTTTGACTTGAATATACAGCTTACCTGCTACTCTTAACAGACATTTAGCTTTGTAAACGAGGGTAAACTTTTTAAACATTCAAGTTCCAAAGTAATTAATATTAAGAATTAAAAAAAATATATTTCAACAATACAGTATATAGTTAGTAGGACTAAATGATAACTTAACCTGATTAGCACAGTCGCTGCGGCTGGGTCCCCGGTGACGCATGGAATGCCGTGGTGTTACCGAGGACACAGCGCGCAATACATTATTTGCCCAGTCAGTGTGGTTTAGGCTCTTGCCAAGGACAAATAATACGCATTAGTATTGTGTCTCTAATACCAGCCTAATCACGGCACAAGCCGGCGAGTCAATCAGGACATACCTTGAGTTGCATGCTGACCAGAACACGGGAATGTTTTTAATCTGTGGCCATCAACTTCTAACTTAAAAAAAAATTGCTTAAAAAACTCCACCACAAGCCTAGAGAGAAGGAAGACTGGAACTAGGAGATGTGTGCCAAACCATAAGAACAAGCCTAAGCTCTGAAAAAATACTCTGACGAGCCTCTTTTGGACTTAGACACAAGTTGATATTGCATAAATCAGGGTCATAATCTAAACAGATTTTCACTCATCAACTCGTACACAGTGAAGGGTTTGAACGTCTGTTCCGTAAGTTACTTACCAGTGGTAGTAAACTTTAAACGTGAAACCAGTTGTGTTTTGTTGTTGAAGTGAGTAAGTTAATAAAGAGTGGCAGGGTCCGATTTTGGTTGCTAATGCCCGTATTAACCCTCCGAGTGTCCCTTGTTTGCCCCAATGTCTGCCAATTTTTTGCTCATTTGCAAGGTTTTATTAAAACGGATCTGAGAAGCTTGAAAACAATGTTAATTGTACTGTTCTATACCTATACCATTTTGTTTGGAAAATCATGGGCTTCAATATTATACATAAAACATAAGGAACATTAGTTTCAAAAAAATTTTTTAAGTAAAAAGAAAAATATTTTGGAAAAATTTCAAAAAAAAAAAATAAGTTCGCGCTCAATGAAATTGTAATAAATTATAGGGCTATAAATATTTGAAAATAGCCACTTTGTTCTAAATTTTATGAAGATTACAAATATATAATAATATAAGGAAGTAGATTTGCAAATAAATAAGTTGTGGGCAAAAAACAGATTTCAGTAGGCCTACATAGCGTTTAGCTAAGAATGCATAGCCTAACCATAGCTAGGAATCTGGCTGATAATTTACATCAATATCACTAGGCCTACCTACTTCTTCAGGATCATCAACCAGCCCTTCAAAATCACTTAAATCTTCTTATAATGCACCACGTATATCACTACTTTTGATTTTTAACACTAAAACAATGATAAACGTAACTTAGTAAAACACATCAGTCATCGGTGCGAGGTTAACCAAGATGTTTACAAATACACACATCAGCTGTCTGCTACAATATTTTCGGAACTAAAATGAAAAGCGCTTAGAGACAGACCTCCGGAGAAAGCTCTGAATCTAACAAATAAAACGATAAACTTAGGCTACCTAACTCGATCCAGTTCAATCCGATTTTGTCAATCATAGAGCCTTCGCCGTAAACAGTGTTTGTGAGTCGATGCATCGACACAAAACACTACACAAAGTGGGTTATGTGTCGAAGCATCGACAAATTTCTCCGGACGTTTTTAAAACAAGCCAAAAGTGCCGACGTCCGGCCGTTTTTAGAACGAACCAAAAGTGCCAACGTTTCGTAATGATCGAACAGTTGTCATAACAACCGAATGGATACTCGGATTCTTTTAACCCATATATTAACATTGAGTCGAAAGTTACTAGATGCGATACATCGATTTTCGTTGGTCGAAATATCGAAAATTCAATTTTTACGAAATTTTAACCTAAAAATCGCCAGATCGCGCTCGGCATTTTTAGCGTGACCTTTGGGGAAAATCATCGGCATTTTTTGAGCGTTACTTTTATTTCTCGCCTGGCACTCTAAGGGTTAAAGCCTACCATATGTTAACCCTCCGAGTGTCACGCGTCATAAAAATGACGCACAACACACTTTGTGTAGGGTCACGCGTCACTTTTATGACGCACAAACATCGTTTACGGCGAAGGCTCTATGACTGACTGAATCGGATTGAACTGGATCGAGTTAGGTATCGTTCTTTCCGTAATATTCTAAGCTTTCTCCAGAGGTCTGTCTCTAAGCGCTATTCATTTTAGTTCCGAAAATATTGTAGCAGACAGCTGACGTGCGTGTATTTGTAAACAGCTAGGTTCCCCCCTACCGATGACTGATGTGTTTTATTACGTTTATCATTGTTTTAGTGTTAAAAATCAAAAGTAGTGATATACGTGGTGCATTATAAGAAGATTTAAGTGGTTTTGAAGTGCTGGTTGATGATCCTGAAGAAGTAGGTAGTGATATTGATGTAAATTATCAGCCAGATTCCTAGCTATGGTTAGGCTATGCATTCTTAGCTAAACGCTATGTACTGAAATCCGTTTTTCGCTCATAACTTATTTATTTGATAACTTACCTCGCTATATGATTATATATTTGTAATCCTCATTAAATTTAGAACAAAGTGGCTATTTTCAAATATTTATAGGCCTATAATTTATACAATTTCATTGAGCGCGAACTTATTTTTTTTTTGAAAATTTTCGAAATTATATTTTCTTTTTACCTAAAAATTTTTTTTTGAAAAAATGTTCCTTATGTTTTATATATAATATTGAAGCCCATGATTTTCCAAACAAAATGGTATATAGAACATTAGAATTGACATTGTTTTAAGCTTCTCAGATCCGTTTTAATAAAACCTTGCAAAGGGGCCAAAAATAGGTGGACATTAAGGCCTAAACTATGGACACTCGGAGGGTTAATCCAAGGGGGATGGGGGCCATGTCCCGATTTTTCTTTAACATAAGGTGGCAACCCTGATGAGTGGTTCCATTGTAATGTAATGCGGGCATGCACCCTGAATGCTATGTTATCTAAATCATGTAGGCCTACGTGTCCATAAGAAACAAAAACTAAGCTGTAAATATGTAAATAACTTAGGCCTAGGCCTATCAAAAACATTAATAAGATAGGTCTTAAGGCTAAAAGATAAGTTAACCTAGGCCTATAGCCTACAAACTAGGCCTAGGGCCTAAATAGGAATATTTCCTATAGGCCTAGTGGAGTGTGCGCAAGGATGTAATTGAGTTAAACTATTATTATTTACATGGATGGATAAACTGATCTTGTGCTAAAAAATTTACTTGGACTGGCTCCTAAAAAAATCCCGAATTGTAACATAGTAGAACTACCTAGACAAAAGCTTAGCATCAACGTCGTCCACTACAGATAGACTATCAACATTTTCATCAGTTAAACAACATGTATGATTAGTGCTAATACATTAGTAAGAGATTACTCACATTATAACCACGTCGATGCTAAAATTCTGAAAGAGTAATACGTACGATACACGACCGGTATGAAACTTAGTTTTGTAGTAATTAATTAGTTTTAGTTGCACAATGCACGCACAATAAAAATCCAAGATGGTGGAAATTCTTACAGAATTGAGAATAAAAGCGAAAAGCGATTTACGAACGAGCTGGTTGGTTGGCGCACTCCACTTGGCTTTTGCTCTGGCTCACACTTCACTTCACTTCAATCAACAACAACAAACAACGTAGTGTAGTCAGTATTGATAGGGTGATAGCATTGAATATATAACACTAGTATGGTTTTATATTCAATGGTGATAGTGATAATGATATAAGCATAGATAAAATATACTCCTTGAGGAGTATGTTTTATCTATGATATAAGCCTAGACCTTTAGGCCGCGGCCTGGGCCCTGTTTCATAAAAATATATGTTTTTCTATAGTCTGTTTTCATTTGTTGTTACTTTCTCCCCCTATACACATAGTATTATGGAGAAAGTATGGTTTTCACGGGTTTTCATCAACATTTTTGAGTTTCAGTTTTGAGTGGATATAGTCGTTTGGGCGGAGTTTACTCAAGGGAGGTATAGACATAGATAAAACATACTCCTTGAGGAGTATGTTTTTTCTATGGTATAGATGAGCCTACGATGACTGCAGCTGTGGAACACCACCTTCTGATTAGCTGAGGGAACACCATTACCGCAACGATACGGTGTGGAGCCATCGGTCTCGGTCGGTGGTCCAATGGATAGCGTGCCACCGCCTGGCTGATAAGCTGATAAGTATAAAGTTAAATATTTGTGTACATATTCTGTAAATAATTTGTTGGAATAAGGAAATAATTCATTCATTCGTTCATTCATTCAGACTATTATGAACATCTACTCTAGGAACGAATAGAACGTTGGCCAAAAATGTTCTAAGAATATTCACAAGCATCACGAAAGGAATATCCTTGGATTATTTTGAAATGGCCTGGGAATATTCTGAAAACATTAGATGGAATTTTCTTTGAATATTCACAAACTACACGAAAGGAATATTCTTGATGGATTACAATGTTCCGGGAACAATCTGAGAACAAGCTACGAACTTTTCTCAGAATGTTGGCAAGGAGGCACATAGAATATTTTGAATTATTTTCGTGGTATAATATTCTCAATATCCGTAGTGGATATTTAGGGAACCTAGAATAGTTGAAGAATAGTCGACATTCGTATGCTTTGTGGGGTAGAATCTTTAAGTGTTGCCAACTTATTTTTAAGCTTGCACGTATTACGTGCCTATTAAAATCACACTGTTTTGTGTTGTTTGGTTGGAGTTCTGGAGTGCGGTAAAAAGATGAGTGCAGTAAAAGTAAGTAAATGCAGCAATTAGCTACTTTGCGTGCTATAATCAGTGTAACGAAGCCATCCTTGTCAGGTAACTGTAGGAAAACTGACTCACTTAAGGGGCCCTATTTTTGAAATGGTTGACAGTTGAGTCAATCGTCAGCACTCAACTCAACCAACAACAGGATTTGGTATTTTTGAAACCCAACAGTTGGGAAGCGAGTTGGGAATCACTAGTTGAGTGATTCGAGGTGGAAATGTAGAGCATACGACCGCCCGAAATTCAGATGACGTCATTTTGAACCAATCACAATGCAGAGTTCTTGCGATCTTCCATTTAACCTCTTCTTACTCTAAAATTTGGCAGCTAATCTCAATCTACCTCTACCATATTTCGAGAGACTGAGGTAAACTGTCAACTCCGTTCTTGAGAGATTGAGGTTATGTCTTGCTTAACCTTCAATCTTAGTGATTGCAAAAGTACCTTAACTTATAAAATAAACTTAAGTATTAAAAATAAAATTTACTATGGATGTTTGTTTTAGGGTGTAGCTAATTATAAGGCACTGAAAGCATATCTAACTTAAATTAATTTGATCCCTTTATTAGGTGAATGGTATTGAAACAAACTATGATATTGTTTCTCTCTACCACAATCTTTAATACCTTAAAGGTCTAATAACAATAATTATCTTATAATAAGTTTAATTAGTATGCCTAGCCTATTTCAAACATACCAACAAGGATAAAATCCTTGATTAAATAGTCTAGTATTGACACAGTAATAATAAAATTAAGATGCAATCATTCTACAAAAAACAATCGCATAAAGTATTGGGTGCTAATACATTGACAACAAATACATAACCTCTAAATCGCAATTAGTAAATTAAAGCAATAACAAAACAATATGGTGTCGACTCAAAAAGAGTAATTTTTGCCGAAAGAGAGGAAGAAGAAAGTGCAGTCAACCTCCACTCAACAGCTCGATAGGTGTTGAGTAGTTTTGGTTGTATAAGTCCACCGTCAATCGTTTCAAAAATACGAAACGATTGGAAATAGAATGACTCGACACTCAACTCAACAGTCAACCATTTCAAAAATAGGGCCCCAGATGTATAGGGTGTCCCGTAAGTTAACTTTATTTTGGGAGATTTATAATCAATGGTAATATCATAGACTAATGTTTTTCTAGTGGGGCCTTGGCTGAAGCGAGAGAGAAGCGATATCTCAATCCCAATGGAATGACTGAAGGTGGCCGTGGTGACTGGTGAGTGTGATTCATTCATCCATTCATCGATGGTTATCAAACCATAACAGACACTACTAGCCTACTTGTGCAGCTTTTGGAAACAAAACTCGAGAGAATAATACCAGCTGGTCCTTCTTGTCCTTCTTATCAATCTTATCAAAAGAAAAAAATAAAGTTTGTAGTTTACTGTACGAGACCTTGCCGTCAGACCGTCACCGCCCACCTTCGTCTGTCTAGAAACGGGACAGCGGAATTGAAATCCGAACTGAACATCTGATCGCGGGTTTCTGTCATCACCGAGCCTGTTTTAAATTACGCGGGAACAAAGTACAGTAGCCGTTTAATGTTAAATATAAGTCAAAATATGTTAATTGAAAATTATTTCTAGAATAATTATAAAAAATTACAAAAAACTATATAAGTCCAAATAAAGATGAATTACATAAAAATCCTGACTCTTATTAATTGTTGTTTACACTGTTTAAATAACAAAAGTATAGAAAGAAAAAATTTAATTCCATGTCGTTCTAAATTATAGCTTACAGGTAGGCCTATTTTCAGCTGTGAACATTTTAAAACTAGTAACATACCTCGTGTTAAAATTCCTGGGGCCCATTTCATAATAAACTACAAGTTACAAGTTACAACTTGTAACTTGTAATTTCCATAAGATTTGCATTGAGCGATCAGCTGATTTACTAATAATATTAGTTTGTAATTTATTATGAAATGGGCCTCTGGTCTTCAAAATAAATTTTTCTTAAAATGTAACAATTTAACACATATATTGATACACACTCACACACACAAATAATATTTACATTTATTTACAACATATTTTCTTCATCTTGGAAACTGTAACAACAAAATGAACACAAAAAATTGGCTATTTTAAATGAGAAATATCTTATTGTGAATTTTCTATAGGCCTACTTGTTTATTTTGTTTGTTTGTCAGTGTCACAAGTTACTCAGCATGGGTCTACGTTTATGTTTGTAGGTACCAGTAACTCTGTGAAAATATCTGGGATGTCAGTGTGTGTGTTCAAGTTCAAAAACTTTTATTTCAGTAAAAGATTTCACTAGCATACCACTGGGCCGAGTGAATACAAGTACAGCACTTGTGAGTAAATACTTGCGAGTATTCGTCGTTCAAGTAATCTCTTGTGAATAAAAGCGACTCTTTACTTGCAAGTAAATACTTCCTAAATGAGATGGTATACTCACTGATCTATCGAAGATGAGGGTATACTTGCAAGTATGTACTCCATTTTAAAGTAAACATTATACAGTACAAGTATATATATATATATATATATATTAAATAAATAAATATAGATAAATATATATATTGTTGAAGGTCTAAGGCCTTCATTTAAACATGTAAAATGTGAAGGTTTTGCATTATTGAGACTTGCGGATGGATTTTCATTAACAAATAGCTTGAACATAACGAAGGAATACCACAAAGATTCCATCTTCAATTACCCAAGCATTATTTTGCGGAAATTACTAGAGTCACACATAATTTAAATAAGTGTATTACACTATACTGAATGTGTTACATGCATTTATCAACAAGTAAATTTAAACAAGCATGGGTTATTGATAACTAGTTGAAAAACAAGTATTTACTCTTTAGGCAAGTATTTGCTGGTGGTTATTCACACCAAATTTATAGGTTTATGAGGGTATATACTTCCTTGGAAAGGCTTTTTAGAAGTACAAGTAAATACTCATGCTTATTCACTTCTGTTCAAGTAAATACTCAAATTATGAAAATTCAAGGCAAGTAAAAAAATGTGAAGAACAAGAACTTTAACTTAGAAAATAAGAATGTGTCAGCTGTTACAATTTCATTTAATTTATAATTGATGGTTGATAGGGTAAATGCTACAGTTATTGGCACCTTAACGGTAAGCTTCGGAGAAATCTACCACAGCTCCTTTGCAATACCGTTTTTAATATCTACGTTTTTTAATCATGTAGCAGAATGTACTGAGAATACTGGGATCTATAAAGAAAATATATATATCATTACTTAAGTTTATTAAAAAATGAAAATGTAAAAAAATACAAAAACCATAGTTATTGGCACCATCAGCCATAGCTATTGTCAAATCTTGGCACAGTTATTGGCACCCATAAAAAAGTCTACAAATATTACATTTTAAGCGTCCTAAGGTGGTCTTTGTTGTCTTACGTGATGTATGTCTAATCATATTATAGTATATAGAAGTAAAAATTAAAATTATACAGTAAGTAAAATTAAAATCCTTAAAATTGTTCATGGTAGGCCTAGTTTTAGTTCTTTGGCAACACCTTTACCGAATTTAATACTGTCTTTATACATATTAATTGGTATTGGTTCGTCGTAATCAATGCCATCAAAATATTTCCTGTGAAATATTTCATTACAACGTTCACATTTTACCTTTTGTAGGCATATTTTTTTATTCTCTTTGTTACGTATTTGATCCTGATTGGGGCTTTTTGACGGAATTTTAATGGTTGTAAACATAATATGATGGATCGGTTTTTGGTTGACCCTTTTTTTAATATGGTAAAAATTAGTTATGTGAAGCTTTGTATCTTTATATATATAAATTAAGTATATTGGCCTAAATAAATTTTTTTAATAGCATATACTCGTGTAACCATGTTACGATAACTTAGAGACTTCCATGACAGTAAATGCTGTTACTGACAGTGTCACCTGTTACCAGTGACTACAGTCATTGGCATGCCAATAACCACAATAATTACCAGTGCCAATCGGCATTAGTGTACTTACCACAGTAATTGGCACGCCAGTTACCACAGTTATTGGCAGTGCCAAGGTAGTGCCAATAACTAAATCACTACATATTTTAGACACAGTTGTTGGCACCCTCATATATTAGGTAATTTTAAGTATATGGGTAAATGGGTGGCGGGAATAGACAAATCAGTCCTTCCTAATACTAATGAAATATTGAAAACGTAATTTTTAACGTTCAGTTTTAATAGGAAACAATAAACAGGTATTTAAGTCCTTGTCAGATTCTTAAGGAAATGTGAAGAATCAATACAAATCGGCTAAGCATTTGAAAAAAAATTTCTGTGCATGTTAGCATGGCCTCTGAAATAACCAAACACACACTGAAGTACAGAGAACTCATGTGGGCATCTCAGCAACTAATTACCTAATGATTACAAATTATTAAATATATTTTTTTGCAAAGTTTTGCTTACAATCTGTTTTAAATTAAACGATAAGTAAATATGATGACATTTATATAAATTAAATTAAAATTGGGGGAAAAATTATTAAAATGTATTATCTATACTAATATATAAAAATGAGATGGTGTGTGTTTGTGTGTCTGTCTGCTACTCAATAACGCAAAAACTACTGAACCGACTGGGCTCAAATTGCACACACATGAAGCTACAGTTCCGAGGATACATATAGAACTATTCCCGCTTCGATATTGTCCTAGGGCTCTGCCACTGAGCTAAAATTATAACTGGAGGTAGCACTGCCATGGCAGAAGTCTGTCAAAAGCGAGTCGCTGATTTTGTTAGGTTGGTATAGCAGTAAGTTTTCTTACCATAGCAATAACATGGCTTCTTATAACTAGGTTGGTATAGCAGTGAGTATTTTTGTCATACTTGAATACTTTTAATACTTTAATAATTTTCTTTGAAATGGCGACCATACAATGTAGGTATTTTAAGCCAAGTATAATAATAGCCATAGCAATAATATGGCTTCTTATAACTCACACCTCACGCAAACATGGCGGCTGGCGACACGCATCTTTGACATTCAGTGCTACCTCCAGTTAGAATTATAGCTCAGTGGGCTCTGCCCAGTGGGCTTTCAAAAATTTGAGGTGATTTAAAAGTAAATATTGATTGATGGTATCCATGGTAACAAAGAACAAACCTACAAAGTTTAAAAATACAAACAAGCAGAACTAATTAACTGTCAAATGAGTTTTGATTTCACAATTCCACTCCACACAGCTGGTTCAAACATATTAAATACTGCACGAATATTAAAACAGAGAGGGTAAGGATTACAAATTTGAAATAATGATGTCACTAGCCCGAATGTAAACATTATTTAACATTACTTAAATGGAGCTGTCAAACCATATGTTAATATAATTTCATCAGTTACACCATTTGTTTATGTTTATGATCTATTATACTGAGTCTGTTCTAATATTTGTGAAATGCTGTAATAATATTTTACAGGCAATAATTCGTTGTAAAAGAAATCATTCATGGATATAGGAAATAATTAAGATTCTATAATCATTGCCAAGCCATTATCCTGAGTTTTATGAGGTTTATTTTTATTTTTGTGTAAACAGCAATATAATCCCCCTGCCGCAGCAGATTTATAGACTTAGTGAATTTCCATTTACCTGATTATAATTTCGATAAAATATGTTAAAAAATTACCCTATTCTTCATATTTATTTCAATTTTCCTATTTGTTTCTATTTTTCGGTTTGTAACTGTTGTGATAGTTTTTTTGTTTACAGTGCAAACCATTTAACACGTTCTTTTATTCTACCTTAAAATCTAACATTGGTTTTGTATCGTAGGTAGCCAAAATAAGTACTCACAGTATGAGTACTTATTTTTTACATATACTTGTCCCCCTCAATGAATTCGTGTATTTCACGAAGGTGTCGAGACAAAACCCACCGATTAACAAAACTCTTATCACAAAACTGGGCACTGGCATACATTCATTGTTGACAAGACAAGCCAAAACGATTAAGTACACCACGCGACCACGCGACAGACAGCATTGAATTTGACGTTTAAGTTCGGCACTGCTCGGTAAGATTCGGAAGCGTTTGGCAAAGCGCAGTAGTGGGGGAAGCGTTGTTCCGATTTCAAATTCTGCTGTCCCGTTTCTAGACAGACGAAAAAAAGGGCGGTGACGGTCTGACGGCAAGGTCTCCTGTTTACTGTTAACTGTTGCACAACACTCTTCAAAAGAACGATTCTGATTCTTTGGTTATGTTCATGTTGTCATTTGCTTCATTTGTCAACTATGGCGCGCAATTTGATAGTGGAGAATTTGGTTGCTCAACTAATATCGTTGTTGAATGATAATTCGTTATTTCGAGATAAAAGAAGTCAAAACATTTTAGATCAGATAAAGTCATTCTTTTCATCAGAACACACCAAACCAGAATTGGGTAAGATAGGCTAACTTGGTCTTTTTGTTTTTGTTGTGTACAGTAGTATTGTTGGATCCGGCCTCAGTTTAAGTTTTAACTCCTTTTCCCTGATTTCCCCAAGGTAACACACAATCTCAACTTTTTTACTAACACAGAAGTCCTTTTATTACATTACATGTCTAGCAAAATGCAAAATATACGTTGTACTTTTCATAGTATGTAGGTTTAAAGTTAGGCCTATGCTTAAGTTATTTGTAGCCTTAGATTTTTAGAGATTTTCTCTTGAAGGGGATAAGCTACTAGGCTACCAGGTCTCATGGGTATGACCTGACCTGGCCATTTACGTTTTCCTTTTGATGTCTCTAGAGGGTCTTTTAAAATTATAATTACGGTATCTGATCAAATTACAAATTCATAGCCTAGGCCAAATAAGTAATGTGTCCATTACCTCGACACTAGAGCAAATGTCATCCAATTTTGATCCAATGCCCTGTATAAATGTGTTACTTAAGTTACTTAAACCTAAAATAAAGGTTTTTTGAAACGAGTTGCGACTGATCGGACCTCGGGAACAGTTTTTTAAGAGAAGAAGTTAGTTTTTCTCACAAATACTTGAATAGCCCCAGTATGGATCATAAACATAAACAAATTATCCTAATTTTGAAAGACATGTTTTAAGGCAAGGTTTATTACACTGTATTGATCAGCTTGTGGGCTTCACTCACCTTAACTTAATTTGTTAATCCAGGACTCGTCAGAATTTAACACAACGAATACACACAACACACACATGCACATGAAAAATCGTCCTTGAATTTACTCCGATGTTTCGTGGGACCTAAAATAACGTCCTGCTTCCTCAGGGAATTAAAACTTTATTTTTCTCGCGTACACGAGCTGAACGCCTAACCACGACTCAACAAATTACGTCACTAGCCCGATAATAAACATTTTTTTACTTAAATGGAACTGACTAAACCGTAACTTAGGCCTATGTTAATGCTCTATTTGTAGTCTATAGAATTTACAGTGGTCTACAGAGATGTCTGACGCACAACTGCGTCGCTTGGTCTATGGATATGATGATTGGTGACGTCATATGATAGTTGGAAAAACTGGTCTTTACTTTTTTGCATCACTGTATGTATGTATGCAGTATGTATACTGCATTATCCTAGCTTTTATATTTGTTCAGTTATAAACTGTTCTTGAATAATCTGTTTTTTTACTTACTTTAACCTCAAAACACAAACAAAAATGAACTGTTGCATATGCGGCGTTTGGGCTATTTCAAGAAAACTATGATAATTTTCACTATTGTCTTCTCTGTAGACCGGGCGTCGCAAATATGCAACATTACAAAAGGTTGTAAAAAATACAAAAACAAGATAATAAATTAATTACAAACACGATTGCAGCGTATTACAAGGTAAATAAATCACTGTTTAACAGGTTTTCGCTTGTGGTCTGTGTGTACTGTTATCCAAGTGACAGCCGGTCTATGTGTAAGATTCAAATGTATACCTCGGTCTTGGGCAATGACCGCGGCGTCGCATATATGCGACGCTCAGTAGCGAACGTGTTAAATATCAATATAGACAATATAGATTTTGATTCAGTTTGATACGTTTATATATAATTTTAAACAGAAGGCCTGTAGTGTGGGACTCCAACGGGTTTAAGGCCCAGAGACTACCCACTAAAAACCTCCTCTATGCTCTTCGGACACTAGGCTGGGAACATTCGTCGCACATCATCAGAACTAGGCCGAGTTTGCCTACGAACGAAGGGCATACTCCGTGTCTAGCTGTTCTGATCTAGATAATTCTTTTTCACTTGAAGGACAAAGTGCGACCAGCTGTCCTTGTTGTCCTCACCCTCCAGCAAGGTCTCACAAATCGATTCAACCTACAGCACCCCAAGACGACCTCCTGGCTGAGCATATATCTTGAATACTTGAATACTTGTCTTCTACATCGTTGACCGACATGTCGGATAGATTGCGTCATGTTACTATTTACATATAAACACTATAAAACCATTAAAAAATATCTAAATATACTTTTACTTCTACTTTTGTGGCGGACGTGTCACGTTAAAAAAAGTGGTTCACTCTCCAACTCATGCAAAGCGTACAATGGCCTATTCAGCAGTCCCTCACGTATCTCCCTCTTAAAGTCTGGCAGGTCCATGTCACGCACTCGTTTAGGCAAGGTGTTGAATACCCTAATTGCCGAACGCGGGTAACTCCTCATTGTCTGTGCAAGTCGGCACCGAGGCATGTCAAGGTCTGGGGCTCTGCGGGTATTGTGGGTGTGGACCTCCTCCCTCCTGCCAAAGAGTCCCACCTTGTCTTTGAGTAGTACAAGGATGTCGAGGATATACTGGCTGAATACAGTGAGCACCCTATGCCGGATGAATATAGGGCGGCAGTGCTGCTTGTAGCCAGCAGATGACACTATCCTCATGGCTTTCTTCTGGAGCAGTAGGATGTCATGGGCTGCTGTAGAATGGCCCCATAGGACAAGGCCGTACGACACATGGCTGTGGAAGAGGGCGTGATAGACCATCAGCAGAGAGGGTTGACTTAAAGTAGGACGAAGTCTTCTTAGTAGGTAAGTAACTCTAGATAGCCTAACACATACCTTGTCTATGTGATGCTTCCAATTTAACCTGGGGTCAAGCCCATCATCGTGGACAGCGGAAGAAAGTGTGTTCCGTACACATAGGCAGTAAATAGCCTACAGAAAGGTGAATTCGTTTTGGCCATCAACTGCAGGTATGACTGAAAATAGCCGTGACCTGACAAGAACCGCATGAGATAGTACAACCTCACCATGCCGCCGTTCCACTCCCGGTTGGACCTATCTGATGAGTCTGGCAGCCCAACGTCTTCAACTCTTCCTATCCCAGTTTTCTTGCCACTTCTGAAAAGTGCGGGTGCGCTCTTCCGTTCCAGCAGTGTCATTCCCAATGTTGCATTGTCTCTGGTAGATTGCCTTCCTCTTCGCTACCAAGAGTTTGACAGGGATAACTCCAGCAATAACCAATCATTTACTTAGATATTACCATTTCTATTGTGACAGTTTACCAATCTTCTTAAATAGTATTTTAAACAGGGCGGAGTTTAGCTAGCTTACCTGAGCAAGTTAGAGCCCAGACGCTAATAGATGTGCAATGAAAGTCACAACACCTTCAGTTAAACTGTGTGTCTGGGAAAACCTTCATATTATGTGAAGACACTAATACATGTTCTGTTTTCCAGATTTTGTTCTCTCAGTTTTATTTAAACCTGATGACGGCCTTTTGCATTTTATAAAAGAAGGATGTTGTGAGAAGACACTTAAACCAGGAATCAAGGAATCTTTGCTACTAATTATTGATCTATTTAAAAAATACACTCAGGATCTTGGCTTAGTGAAGTATTTTGTTCAAACTAAGGTAAGCATCTTAAATATCGCAAACTCAATAAGTAACAAATGAACATTATTCACATCTTGTAAACCATGTTCATTATGCTACTGACTCAGTTCTCTCCATCATGAGAATGCCTTACCTCCTGTGAATATATCTTAACAGGTATTCTATAACATCAGACAAATTGTCTAGGCTACCTTCTTATTTTCTTTAAAATCATTTTGCCGTTGTTTTCTTAAGAGATCGTTAGTTTTTATTCCTAATCACTATTGTAGGCTATTTATTGCTCTAAACTGAAATTACTTTTATGAATTAGCCTAATTGTTATTTTTGTAAATGAAGATGTAGGCTAAAGGTTATAACAGGATATCAAATTTCAGGACACTTGCTATTATGTTGTCTTACGCTACAACATCTGTGGAGCAGATGTCCTCAAGTGTGCTTTTGAAGTGATCAAGGAAATCATAACTTCAAAGGAAGCATTAAAAGTTAAAGAGGACCTTAAGATTCCAGAACTAATTGGATTTTTGTACTGCAGATGTTTGACTGATAAGAGCATAAAAGCAACAGGTATGTTTACTATTTTACACTAAACATTACAGTTAAGATAGTGACTAGGTTTGAAAGTGTTCTACTTGTGTTTTGCATAGGCTTAGCCCCTGAGCAATATAGGAGTGCTCCTGAAGTCCAGGTGAAATAAATACATATGTTAAGGGGCACCCCTTATTGCGAAGGGTGTGTAATACCCATAGGCCCTACTTCACCTATTTTGGAACTATTTTGTTAATAAGCCTAGTGTGTTTTTTAAACATGATTGGTATTTTTATGTTTTTCTGTGGGACAACGCTCGAAACCTTAGCCTTGTTACTATAGTGCAGGGGAGCAATCTGGTCCAGTGGTAGAGGATGTGGCTTCGGTTCCGAGGTCGTGGGTTCAAATCCAGCCAATCACCTGGATTTGGCTATTTGATAACAATGCTACCCCAAGGCAATTCAATTCAGAATTTGAATAATTTGATATAATTCAGCTAAAATATGCACCACTGTCTCAAAGCATTGATTAATGGGAAATAATTGGACTTTTTCAGCTTTGCAAGAGGTCTACGAGTTGTTCGGAGCAATTGCTTCAACATTTCCTGAATGTTTTGGAGATAGCCAAATTAAATCTTTTGTACGGAAAGTCCTCGATGAATTAAAACTGCAGGTACTGTATGACTCTATTTTGACGATCAGAAATTCTCATATAACACTACAAGTAGAAACTGACATTACAAATTTAATTACTTAGTTTTTTTAGGTTATCAATTACAGTAAGTTGTTATGAAGCACTTTACACCCTGTGTAAAGTTTTATATAATTTCTGTTAAAGGGAGATTGATACTTATGCGTTTCTACCATCTTGCTTTCCTTTCCACTGATTTATTTTCCAGACAATTTGTATAGTGAATGGAATGGACCTACCTATGTTACCAGTGTATAGCATTGTCATACTTAGTCAACCTTGACTAGTGGTTATGTTAGAGCATCGCACTTTAGTCTTAAAAACTACTACTAGGTTTCAAATCCAAGTCTTGACAAATTCATTCATGAGCTATTTGATAAGGCCCTCTTTTTAAAGTATTCTGTTGGAATACAATATTTTTACCATCAAAGTTTTACTAATTAAATCTCAGTTTTTTCTATATTTTACCTTCCCCTGTTTTTTAGGAAACCTTAATTATTTATTTGAGATCAGATCCTTCACCAAAACTCCCCTCATCATTTATTTGGATGAGTACAATAGACCTAATCATTATGGGAAAGGAAGTATTTTTTAATAAGATTGTCTTTAAGCATTTCTGTGTCTTACCGAAACTATTATTAGTTCATTTGTTCTGTGTAAATTTGGTATAGAAAATAATAAAAAATATCATGGATATTATTTTTCTCGTTGTGTTTAAAAACGCTTTATTTCTTTTAGCTCAAGCAGACCAACAATGTAAAACCCTGCATAATTGAAGGTTGCATGAATGCACTGAAAGGTGTGTTCTCAAATTTTCCTCGTGCCTATGATGACCCTGATAAGGAGTTAGCGGAACAGTCCAAAACTATCTACTTATATATCAAAGATGCCTTCCAAGGAGATTCAACCCGCAAAGCATATCAAAGAGGTAAATAAACAAACTAGAGCACAAGGGCACGGGCTATAATAAACTACCATACATTTTCTCCTAGAAAACATTAAAACAGATTATCCAATTTAAGTATGAATATCAAAATTAGTTAAAACAATTCGTGAATATAACCAATAACTAATGTACAAAGATAAATTTGAACAAAGTTTTTTTTTAAATCTCATTCATGCAAACCAATTTCTCATTCGTAGTTTTTATTTTTTTTGTTTTTATGAACAAGCTCCTACATTTAAAGAGGAGTGAGTAGCAACTAACTTGACTAAGAAAAGTGTTCCAGGCAGTTGATAGGTACAAACAAGCTCACAGCACATCGAACTTGATATTTCACACTTCCAAGTTCTCCTTCAGAATTGAAGTAGAACACTGGCCAAGTGTACTGTGTGATTTCTATGATATTTTAAAATTTGTCCGACAGTGGTCCCTGCTTGTTGCAATAAATTGTGGTGATTTTCAGCAACGTTGGATTTGTTCGCAACACACATCGAACTTCTGTGGGGCTGGGTGGTCGAGTTTAAGGATGTCAATTATTGGTTGCCACTCCTGTCCTTGTGGGCCGGTAAAATCTCGGCTGAGGACAAGCAGATTGGTATTAAAGCGGTGAGGGCACTGCATGAAAAAGCTATGAGTCATATCACCTCTCACCCGGATGACGCTATGAAACATGTAAGTAAGCTAAGGTTAGGTTTTGAGGTTAGATTACTTGTGGTAATTTGTCCTGATTATGGAAATGGACTACACAAGGTTATAAGTTCAGTAGTCGTAGAACTTTTTTTAGTCGACCTAGATATTCTTGATCGTTGCTTTTAATACATGGTTCCAGCTAAAGAACAGCTACTTAATAGTAGTTTGCAGCGCAGCAGTGCTCGATTTGCGGCGGAATGTGGTGGAACAGCGTTCCCGTACCTCTGTTTTGGAAAGATAAAGATATTTGCATAAATAGGTACTAATCACATTAAATAGGTTACAGTTCCGGCACCTCGTTTTTTACAAATCGAGCACTGGTTTGCAGCAAAGCTATGCAAGAATTCTTGCTCCATTCTACAATCATACTTCACTATTTGACTTAAAATTAGTAACTTTGTGTGACTATCCCGTTGAAATTATGAATGATAACAATGACAACCAAAAAACTAAAACACATCAATATGCACATTGTCACCTTTTGTGAGAATTCATCGATTGTTTTCAGGACTTTCTGAGCTACTACAAGCGTGTGTTGGAGTGCCATAGAGCCGCTAGCTACAACATGGACCTAGCAATAGAAGGGATCAGCACTCTGGCTGGCATCTCCAGCAATGAAATAAACCAAACAGATGTTACTAACATATTTAGGTTGATCCTACAACGGGCTCAGACTGATTTCCCTCTGTAAGTATTAATATAAGATAAGATACAGTGGCGGTTCTAGGACCTTGTCAAGGGGGGACTACTGAGGGCCCCCAAGAAAGAACGAGGTCCCGGAGGCCTTCCCTGCAGGGTATTTTTAAAGCCGTTCAGTGGCTTTCTAAAGCCATTTTAACATTTGGAACTGTGTCGAAAACCCTCCATTACATTTTTAGGACAAAATATAGTGTTTAGATTTATTTTTTCTTTAAAAACCCCTATCTGGTTCAAATCCAGCCTAATAACAGTGGGTCTTAGCTAATAACTTTGATACGGTGCTTTAGAGATACCACTTTTTGAGATAAGCTCACTTTTCAAATAAAAATATAGGTCTCTTAGCTGATAAATGTCTCTTTGTTGGAGGTATCGCTTCAAGGTCATACTCTCCAAGTACAATTTTTGGGCTGCCACAAAGCGGAAACATCCATCAAACATTTATGGAAAGAAGGAGAGACTGTCCATAAAATGGGAGGCGTTTAAAACATTAGCCCCCACCATAACCTGTACTTCTATGATGAGGCATTTGAGATGTGACAGATGCTTCTTAAACATAATTTACCTAAATAGATACAGTAACTTTTCTTTTGTAATTAGAATAAGATAAAAAATTTTGACAACGTAATCACAGTAAATCTTTGATAATTTACTTTTAATTTTATTCCGCCAGATCCAATAAGCGGTGCTACAAATTAACGGAATCTCTTTAAAACATCGTACAATGGTTTGGAATGAAAAAAAAAATGTGATGTTGCTAAGCTTAGTGAGGTAATCAACTCAGTACAGCTCATTTATAGTTATTGATTTCATGATTTGTTAGATGCTTTGACTAGAGGACAAATTTAATTCATAGAGAAATATCAACTGATTGTGTTTTTTTAACAAGCCCAAGAATGTTCACACAGCCTTACAGATCTGTAAGCCAACATCTATGTTGTACGCTGTTTAGTTTAATTCAATGAACATTCACTCTACAGGCAGGATAGTACTACGGCAGAGCGGTCGGACAGTGATGAGCGGCTCGCCAAGTATCTAGAGTCTCTATCCAACGTCTGCTCTAAGCTGAGCTCTGTGACCAATGACCAGCTGTCTGGGATGACGCGGCTGTGGCGGCTACTGGTGGAGCGCTACCCCCACCATTACGCTCGGACACAGATCATTATGGTCGAATCTCTCAGTGTCACCATGCTGAGGATGGGCATGTGCGACCCGTCTGTGTTTGCCAGGTTCTTGTACCCTGTCGGTGAGTTTGCGGTTTTGAGCCTAAATACAAAATAAATAGGTTATGTCTCTGTTACCTTTTTAATCATTGTCTACGCTATAGTTTCGCTTAGGTTGCCTCATTGTCAAACCTTCCTTCTAGCTCTTTAGTTGGAGTTATTTATTGAAATCTCAGTGTCAAAAGAATACTGATTCTTGTATGATTAATCTGTGATGAAAGATGTTAACAGTAATATTAAGTTATTTATTTAAATTTCAAGAAAATAAGTCAGCTCGAAAGGTTTTCAATTGGTACCCAGGAAAGTTGAGTGAAAATGTTATGCGGTGACTGAGTCTGTAATAATCAAGACATTTAATCGTTTACTATTATTGTGAATTTATAATACTTACCCAACACTTCTTTTTATAGAAAACTATGGTACAGTTTTATCTTTACCTTGATTTTCAGTTTACCAAAGCATTTTGGTTACCTGTTGCCACACTTTGGTGGAGGAGGCCGAGCTTCAAGAGGAGTTGACTCAAAGAGAAGTGATAACGTATAAGAACTACAAAAAGTTGTGGGAGGGACTCTTCCGTGTTGGCTATGAGACTAAAAACAAGAGAAAAGTCCAAGGTAAGATGTACGATTGTGATTTTATTTATAATTTATTGTTCAGTAATTATAAGTTTTAGTTTTGATTCCAATCAATAATGACAAATTTTTCAAGCCCCATTCCGGTTTTTCAATAAAGGCACTCAGTCTGCAATATTTTATTTAAGAACTCACTTCCAACTGACCCCCCAAAAAAAAATAAAAGTCTAGAGGTATGCAAGCAGCTCAATTTTTGAGACGAGCCGGGCTTGGTCCACAAGCATGAGAGATCGAACACCAATTCAGCAAATAATTTTAATTACGACACTTGAAACTTGAAATATTTATTAATTTTTATTAACTTATTTCTCTATTTCATTCTTTTATCTACCGTAGAGGACTTATATTTAACTCAACATTATAACATCAACCAACATTTTGAAAAGGTTTGTGAAAAATGATCTTACTATCTAGTTCTAGCCTAAGTAAAATTAATGTATAAAAAAAAAAAAAAACTCGGCTCAAAAAAAATTCTCAAGCTTTTTTCCAAAAGCTTGACTTTCTCAGATGGATAAAAAATCTCAGATTTGCACACCTCTATAAAAAATCCATTCAAACCATCATATACATTTCCCCCCTCATAAACCACATGAACTTAGGATTGTAAATCAAACCACTTTTTTATTTAATTTCACATTGATCTTGACATTTTCAAAAACATAGAAGTTTTAACTGATGATGATTTTTAGCTTGCGAAACGTTTTTCATAATGTGTTTTTTTTAAATCAACAGATTGCTTATAGGTATCAAACATTTATACCAAAATGATAATAATATTAATTGTTAATTAATTATATTTTAAAGGTGTGACTCCTCAATTGCGAAGAATGGTTTTGGACAGCCTGTACGATTGCTTTGTTAAATCACTTGTAGAAATTATTGGCAAACTGAATGTGAAATTGTGTGATAAAGATGAAACAAACGAGGTATGTATCATATGTTTAAGTCATATAATATATATTTCTTTAACTAAATACAGTAGAGTCCCGATAATCCGAACTTCGGTAATCCGAAAGTCCGCTTAATCCGAAAACGTGTTTTTTTTTTTTTTTTTTTTTTTGGAAAAAAGGATATTCAAAAAAATGTTAAAAGTTAAAAACGGTTATGCTTTATTAATAGAAAAAACAGTGAATAATAGAATGGCAAGTACAAATTACACAAGTACAGTAGCCTACTTTTCAAATGTATAGTACAGTAAAGACAGTGTTTGAAACTTACATATAGTGTTGAACTGAATGTCTTAAGTTGGTTTAAAAAAGTCTGTTACAATTTTTTGACGAAGATTAGAGGATCTCTCTTTAGAAGCATAATGACGCCAACGCCTTAGAAACAATGTATCGGCTGGGGTCGAGACGGACTGTTGTTCAACGTAACGTAGCGCTAGATCAAAGGCAGCCGCCGCGTCCGAGTGGGATACTCTCTGCTCGCTGCCGTCGTCAGCTTCGCCTTCACTCTCGTCTGAGATGTTTTCTGGTTCCCTCAAAACCCTTTCAACGATCTGCTGATCGCTTAAAACTTCATGATCATTGTCGTCAGCTTGTAACCACTCATTCACGTCATTTGCATTAGTGTCCTCACACCCAGGAATGTTTTGTAACAGCTCCTGCACCTGCACAACATTGTTTCTTTCTTCATGTTGATTCAAGTTGTCCTCAAAAGTTAGGCTTGGCCACAGTTTACTCCAAGATTTTTTCAACAGTTGTTCACTTGTAGATTCCCATGCTTCTGCTACCCAATAAATGACGTCTTTAATGTTTACCATCTTGAGCTTTTGAAGCAACGAGAGCGTTTCGTCCTGATCTTCCAGTATTCTTCTCAACAACTTTTTCCCATATGAGAGCTTCACATGCTGTAGTACATGTTGATCCATTGGCTGGATCAAAGGGGTCACATTCGGTGGTAAAAACACGGCCCTTATATCTCCACTTATTAATTCGTCGTCTGACGGGTGAGAGGTTGCATTGTCGAGAAAAAGTAATGCTCGAACCGGTAAGCCATTTTCGTTACAAAATCGAGTGACTTCGGGAACAAAGTGGTCGTTAAACCATCCCTTAAATAGTGCTGAGGTCATCCAAGCATTTTTGGAGTTTTTGTAGACGACAGGCAATGCATTTATATTTAGGTTTTTAAATGCCCTTGGTTTTGCTGCTTTGCCGATAACCATTAAAGGGAGTTTATGATTTCCTGCAGCATTACTACAGGCCAAAACTGTCAATCTTTCCTTGCTTATTTTTAAACCAGGTGCACTTATTTCTTCTTTAGAATCCAGACTTTTTTTAGGCAATGCCTTAAAATTAAGCCCAGTTTCATCAGCATTGTAAATTTGCTGCGGTGAATAGTTTCCTTCAGCAATCAGTTCAGCAAATGTATCTGAAACATATTCGGTTGCAGCAGCCTCATTTGACGATAGACGTTCACCCGTAATGGCTAATTGTCGTATGCCGTGACGCTTCTTAAAACGATCAAGCCAACCTGTGCTAGCAGAAAAAGATGTGTCTCCGTTCAATAATTCATTTAGCTGTAGAGCTTTTTCTTTGATCAAGGGTCCACTAATCGGGGTACCTTTTTCTCTCTCTTGAGAAAACCAAACAAACAAAGCACTGTCGAGGTTCTCCAGTGGTGTTGTTTTCGCTGTATGGCGGGATTTTGTACCCTTACTTGTGGAAGCAATACAAAACTGTTCTATTTTCAAACGGTTTTTCTTCCAGTCGGTGATCGTAGCATTCCCCACACCAAACTCAACAGCCAATTTTGACGCACTTTCACCATTGTCCAATCGTTTTAACACTTCAAGTTTGTCTTGCAATGTAACCGAAGTATGTTTACGTTTTGAAGCCATTTCTTCACCACACTCACAACCTCAAAAGATAACGTTACAAAGTGTACATAAATGTACGCGCTGCCACCTATCGGGGAAAGCTGAAACTACTGTACTGTACTACAGTAGCACCATCGCGTAACGCCGGTAATGCAGACACGAAAAGTGACCCAGTACGTGCTGCCACCTATCGGGGAAAGTTGGAACTACTAGCACCATCGTGTAACGCCATTAATGCAGACACATAAAGTGACCCAGTACGTGCTGTCACCTATCGGAAAAAGCCGAAACTGCTAGCACTGTTGTGTTACGACACTTAGTTGCACTTCGTCAAAGTATTATGTAATATCCGAGCAGCTGGGCGGGATAGACTCGTTGTTAGTAGGCCAGTGGGCAATCTTAAACGTTGTATTTCATAGTTACGTGCATTTTAGTAAAAATTTCGCTTAATCCGAAATATTCGGTAATCCGAAATGGGTCCGGTCCCAACCATTTCGGACTATCGGGACTCTACTGTACTCAAATACTAAATTAGTACTAGTTAAGATAACATTTTCAAAATAATTGTTTTTGTGTTTGTGTGGTTTTTGTGCATGAATTTTTAGGCTCATCTTAAATTGAATGGTCCTCAAACATTGTCTATATAGCTAAAATTTTTAAAATAGAGGACCTTCAACTTCTCTAGGTCTAGCTTTGTTGTTGAGCCTTGTAAAGCACAACCAATGCTAAGCAAGATCCAGGCTCAATTGTCTAGCTAGCGGTCATGTAGACGTCACGATTGACGCAGTGATCACAGCAAAAGCCTGAATATCTCATGCCGTCTTCTAGATATCATTATCATCCCCCCCGATTGGAGAAAAATAGTGATCAGATGTTGCGGTCATGGATATATTATCATTGTTTTTCATGGTTGCGGCCAAAAATACAAAAAAACCTGCGGTTTTGTGACGTTGTTATCATGACCACACATCTACCCGTGCCACGTCTTAGTGTCCTGTACTGGCCAGTATCTTTGTACATAATGTCAATCCGTGTTTCGTGTTTTACGTGTATGTTTTTGTGATTACCGACAACCTCAATTTGAGTGATAATGACATTTTTTAACCGCCTGATGATGGGATTTTAATCCCGAAACCGGTCGCCTAAGACCACAATAAGATCACTGACGGACAGGTAATATAAACCATTTTATTAAATAAGTGATCCTGGGCCACTAAGCATAATGACATGACATTATTATCGTCCGAAATCATAGAAACCATCATCCCTTGCAAGTACAGCAAAAGATTTTCTGACTTTGTGTTGGATTACTCAAGCTTTTTAGGTTAGGGTTGTCTCGTTCGCAAACATGTAGCTAGCGTATTGCAGTACAACCTGCAACCTGATGATAGTTATTTCTAAATTGGATAATTGCCCTGGATAATTATTGTAATTTTTTCCTCCAGGAGGTAAAAACTGACCCAGAGAGCAACTTAAAAAGTGAAAACCCTCAAGACCACAACGTGTTGTGCAACTTGGCCAACCTGTACAAGGATCTGTTGGCAGTCCTGGACTCTGAGAGGTTGTTTAAATGGTTGTCAGAACTGCTGTCTACTGTCATCAACCAGTCTGTTCGGTCACCGTTGGTGTCTGCGTTCTACAAGCTGCTGGCAGCCCTACTGTCAGTGGCACAGAGGACAAACTATTTCCTTGTATGTTTGATGAATTTATTGTGTTCTAAATTTTGACGCTATGTAGGCTAACATTCAGATGTAAAATTTTAAAAATTCTTTATATAATTGGTCTCAATTTTGTACTCAAGTTGAAAAACATTTTATTTGTCTTTATAGAAGATGTTAACACATTTTCATGAAATATTGGGGGAAAATCAATATAAAAAAAAACAAAACAAAAACTACAGTAATTTTGATAATTATGTTGCAGTATGATAAAGTTAAGTGAATAAAAAAATGAAATAATGTAAAAAAGATAGAATAAAAAAGTTAAAAAATAATAGGCCTACCTGAATAATTTAATATAATACTGTAATGTGGTTTAAATATCTTTTACTGAGTGATTCTTGTAGTTCTTTCTAGGCTACTAGCTTCACTTCTCGGCCATTAGGTGCCATTTTTTGTTCATTTAGAACAAAATGAGACCTTATAGCATGAAGAAGACTCCTTCTGAAAGTTTAAACTGGTAGCCTAAGTTATATGGGGCAAACCACATGCAATTTAACCAGTTTGTGCTTATTCACTCCAAGCTGTGATTTGCATGAAGTTAATCATTGTCATTTGTCTAATTTTAACAACAAAATAAAATTGATATTACTATACTTTTTCACTTAGAGGGTTGTGTAATGATTTAAAACTGTCACAGGATGAGTCGGAAGAGGTACAGTCGCTGGGTCAGTATATTGTCAGATATCTGGAGGACGTGATGCTACAATGTCAACAGTACAAGAACGATCTGCAGGCTTCGTGTTTGCTTGCTCTCGTCTCGGTCCCCGTTCCTCTCATCAAGCCGTTGCTGGCTGGAATTGCTCCCGTTATGCAGGTGTGTGATTTAGTTTTAAAAAATTAACGTTTTAGTTTTAATGTTAAAGTAAGGTTTTTTATCAATTTTAAAATTGTTTTCTTCTAGGATGATGATAGTTTGATTGGCTTTACATGATTGCTTGACAAAATTCTTCTTTATTTTAGTGAACTTTTCATTGTCGTAGTTTAGACAGACATCAACAACACTTTTTAATTGATTGCATTTCCCCCAGATGATCTTCAGGCTCGGCCAGAGTCTGCTGTCTCTCGCTGTACAAGGGATGAATGCCCTTGAGCTGTGGCAGAGGTCGTTACCTCCAGATGAGCTCAAGCCCATACTACATCAGGTCCTGCCCTGGTTTGACCCTTACCTACGCAGCAGAGGTGACCACACAAATCTTTACCTATAAATTTGTTCTAAAAAAAAATCATATTGGGTTGTGAGTAAAGAATGTATTTGTATCAATTTTATTCTAACCTATAGTGTGAGTTCTTCTTCAGTGGGAAGTAACAGTCTTCTCTGTGTAAGAAGGTCAGGACTGCAACTTGTCAAATCAAACTGGGAAACGCAATTTTGGGAGCTTTTGCACCTGAATAACATTAAAAACTTTCCTCATGAATACGTGTATTTTGCATGCTTACATGCCTTACGTGGGTCATATTGTATCACTATTGGTTTTTTAGTGTGGCATAATTGGTGTTTTTAGTGAGAAATCAATGGACTTGATTCTATGTTATGGACACGATTTGTTTCTTTCATTGCTAATATGTGATTTGTGATGCTCATATGAATTTGAAGGTAGTAGGTACACGATTAACTGTTTAAAAATAATAAACGAACATTTCCCCATTTCAAAGTAACAACACTAACTTTGTCATTGCTCTTTTTCTCTCACCTTCTGGATATGTTTAATTGTGACGAAATATATAAACACACTCATCATGACACTTAATAATTTACTCTGCAACCAGTCTAAACCTTTAAGACATAAGACATGTTTATTTACAGTAGATGACACTTAATAATTTACTCTGCAACCAGTCTAAACCTTTAAGACATAAGACATGTTTATTTACAGTAGACATATTACAAATGTATTGTAAGAGTCAAACAATTTCATGCAGAGCAGTTATCAAATTGAGAAGTATGTTACAAAGTATACTTTGAAGTCTACGAAGAAAAAATTACATTTTAAGTTATTTAATAGGTCTAAAACTAATATAACAGAGTTTATCGCTATCGAGAAGTAAAAACAACCAAAAGAAAAGTTTAAAAGCTTAAAAAGTTTAAAAGTTAGCAAAACATTACAAAGTTAGACAGGTTGTACTACAAAGCATTAGGTGAAGGCATAATTTGCCAAATGTTGCACAGGAATAACCACAGAACTGCCAGAGGACGAAAACCTGCAGATGTCCAAGCGACAGCAAAAGCGAGAGCGTCGTATCAAAGAAGCAACCAGACTGGCCGAGCTGCAGAAGCGGATGCTGAGGCTGCTGGGTCAACTAGACTCAGCCACTTGTCTCACACTGCTGAGTCACCCTACCGACATTACTACTTGGTCAGACGAACCCATGGTCAACTTCAAGATGCCATTCCCTGACCAGCGGTTCAGTGTTCCGATGGGTATGTGAACTACTAGTTTTATGTATGAGTAGAGCAAAAAGTAAAATATTTTGCTGTTGCAGTAACATTTTGTTCTGTCAAGATTTTTGGTGGAGTCACAGAAAAGTAAGGTACAAAGAAAACACTCAATTGTACTCCTAAGTGGTGTCTAGCGCTAGTGCTGGTGTCTAGGACAAAGTCCAACTCCACCTCTTCCCCCTCATGTACTATAACACTCACGGTGGAGGAAGACCCTGCGCCCTATGCGATAGGAATTTCCGCACAGCCCTAGCGCTTAGTCTCTTCACACGTATCCGGTACAACATTACACAGCTGAAAGTGCACAGTTGTCCCATAAGCGAGTTTCCTCTGTACCTTACTTCCATTTGGTGGAGTAAAAATTAAAAGCCTGGGAGATAGTTTGATTTAATTTTGGATATTGAAGTAGACATCCCATCTAAATGGACTAACTGTAGCCAACAACTAAATTAAAATAGAATATAGTACAATGAGCCACTGAAAGAGTGATTATGTTTTTGGTACTTTGATTGTTAATGTGAAATTAATACGATAAAGTTTATGATAATTTGACCTTTCAGTTTGGATACTAGAACGCAAGTTTGTCCTTCATTTGTAAATAAAAGTGGACATAACTAAATTGAGCTAATAACAGGGTCAACTGATGTAAATGATAGATTTAGGTCAAAGTTTTAGTCTCTCAAATCCCAATAATAAGAGGTGTTAACAATTTTGCTGGGTACAATTTTTAGCAGTAGAGGTCCTGACTGGAAAATTATTTTTTCTATGAAGATAAGAGACAAATGAAAATAAATAATTGACTGTGTAGGATTCTTGAAAGCAAATATTTCACTCCTCCAACATATATCTTTTATAGCTTAATTAATTTTATCCTGTGTACTACATACTATTCTACATACTATTCTTTCATGACTTACCTATAATGTCAATGTGATTCTTGTTGCAGATTCTTTGCTTCCAAGGGTGGTAGAACTGGCAATGACTTCCAGCGATCGTCAGACCAAAGCAGCAGCATGTGAGGTTTTGCATGCATTTGTTCTTCTCTTCATCGGAAATGGTGAGTTTAATAATGCTATTTTGTTAATAAATAAATTCAACATTTCATTTTATTAAAATAAAAATTGAAGTAAAAGTTAACTAAAAATAAGTAGTTAGAGGGAGGTCTAGTTATGGGAGCTTTCCAGTGCAGAGAAAATTTTATTTGCCCACAAAACATTTTGTACACTATGGATACATTCTAGATTTTTCTCATAATTTGTTATTTTAAGTTTTTAGTAGAAATTTTTTTGTGATTGCTCGGTAAATATATAAAAAAAAAAAAAAAAAAATGAGGTTGGTGTGTGTTTGGTCGTTCACATGCTGACGTTTTTGAAAGCTTATTTATCTTGGACCGCTGGGTAAAGTTAGTTTAAGCTACAACATAATGCTACAAACTGCTGTTACACCAGACCAGACAAATTTTACTACTGCAATTTACTTCTAAATATCTTGCTACTAAAGGTTATAGATCTTTTCTCATAACATTTATTGCCAAAGTTATTGAACTAACCCAAATTTCACTCTGCATCCCTCAAATATGGAACAGCATTTTGCTAAGTACCTGGAAGGTTTTTTACAGTTTCAGATATTTTAGATGAATGTCTTAGAATTCCTATTACTGTGCTGTAAGCGGTAGTGACAGAAAGGTTAGCTTACAAGAAGTTCTGTGCTCAAGCGGTGCCAAAAATTATTTTTAACATTTTATTAGTACTAAGTTGTTTTATATCAACTTTTTCTTTTAACCAAGTCAGACTTGAAAGAATTGTAAGCAGACTATGACATTCATGGTTCAGAAGGCAACAACTAGGTACTCCAAATAAACAACGGAATAGTAATTTAATATGACGTATTCAGGGGGTCCAACAACCTAAAAAAATAACATTTCTAGGTTTTCTGGGTTCGAAACTCTAGATTTTCTAATAAAATATTGTTGCTCAAAAAAGGAAACCCACATTTTTTCTTTAAATGTAATTTAAATTCAAACAAAATAAACTGACCCCTTCACTATTGACTATTGAGTCTGTATTCATATTTGGTCTGTGCTCAGATTTGGTCGCCATGCAGCTGTTTCTCCCACTCACACTACAGCTGTAGCGTTGGTTTTGTCCTCTTAATAACGCACTCAACTATTGCAGGTACCACAGTAATAGAGACTAAGCAGCCAGAGCTAGAGAGCATCCTGTCTAGACTGATGCCTTCCCTCCTGAGGCTGTCTTGTGGCTCAGATTTGGTCGCCATGCAGCTGTTCCGTCCACTCACACTACAGCTGATGCGTTGGTTTTGCTTTCCCAAGATGTTGCATTGCAAAAAGCCTGTGCAAACCCAAGCTGTTTTGCAGGCTGTATGGGTAAGTTAAATGACAGTGTTATTCTAGCAATTGTATGAATCTTGCTTGACAATCTTTTTGACCTAAGGAGTTAATAGAAACCCCAAGAAACTACCTCAATAATTATTGTAAAGCAAAGTCAATCTTCTATTTTTGTATTTTGAGGCTAAATTAAGGGAACTCATTCTGTTTTCAATGATCTAAATCTACTTTTAACTAATGATCCTAATCCATCTATTTTTTTCATTTTTTTGCCACATTAAGACATGGTTGGACATAGACATTGGTTAGTGCAGTAGCCCCCTAGAAAATCTAATACAAATCCATACAAAAATTAGGTAAATAAATAATAAGGCTTCATTATCAAAAAATGAGAATGGATTTTCCAGATATGGATACATTTTGCTATCAACACATTTCCGATCAAAATTGTAGTTTCCAAATAATTAAGTAGTATTAATCTAAAAATAATAATGTTTCAAATTGAATCAACAAGTAATTTCCTAGGACGGCATAACAGATGAAGAGGACGTAGCTTTGCAAGACTTTTCAGCTCTTTGTCTCAAAGAGTTTGTGCATTGGTCCATCAAACAATCACCCGACCAGCTGCTAGTAGATCGGCCTCTTGGACCCAAGGCCATTACCCGAATAATCAACTCGTATTGTCTACACCCGAGCCTCACCAAGCGAAGAGGTAAGTGGGTGGAAATCTATAAGATTATTTCAATGTAACTAAGCCTAGTACATTTACACAAAACATTGAGGATACTTGTTGGTTACATTCACATATACTCTAGTTAGTTATAGATTAACATTATTACAGTACTATCAACAATTTAGAAATACTACTAAATGGTAAAAAAAACTTTATTTAAGTGGTAAAAATTTCAATGCATTTGTTTAAATAAATATATAGGATGGAGAGGAAACAGCTAACTCACCTGATGAAAGGTTGCAGACGAGTCAAAGAACACATAAAACACACACATAATAATACTTGATATTGGTTGTTCTTGTAACTACCATCTAGGCCTACTCTGAAGAAGCCTCTGAAAGAGGCGAAATATCAAGTATTATTATGTGTGTGTTTTATGTGTTCTTTGACTTGTCTGCAACCTTTCATCAGGTGAGTTAGCTGTGTCCTCTCCATCCTATATATTTATTTAATCCAAGCTAAATGCTTTTTCCTAAAAACATAACCTTAAAATGCATTTGTTTAGTAACACTTTTAAATGTGATTAAATTGATTGAATTGTGATGAGGGCTGTTAGTGAATTTTAACTATAAAATTAATGAAATAAATAATATAATTATATCATGATAACAATATTTGTGTTTACCCACGCCATTGGAATTTTTCAAACGTTTTTTGTGAGTGAACAGTCTAAACTTTTCCTTGTTGTAACCAGTAACAGAGAAAGTAAGAGGAAAACATTTGTTCTACTTCGGCACAATGTAAGTGTCAACAAAACAGGTTTCAAAATGTACTTGTAATTTTCAAAGTGAATGGTTGTATGCAGGTGCTGCGTTGGCTTTCTCACACATAGCTGGAGAGTTACGAAAGCCTCCTCTGCTAGACGTGTTCTGGTTGGAACTGATGTATCACCTGGTGCTCAACCTCGAGTTGGGTGGCGCCAGTCACAACCACCCTGCAACAGCTGCCCTCACTGTCATTGGCAAAGTGATGAAAAAGAAGGCTGATCTCTTCAATGAGGTAATTTTTAAACCATCGTCTAAGAACTGACTAACATAAGAGTAGGATAGGATAGGACTATTGGAAAAAGCAGAGTGGAAACGCCTTTCTCCCATGTTCCAGCTCCACTACACCACTGATTATACACCCCTCACAATCAATAAAACTTATTTGTCTTAAAATTTCTTCATTGCAGAAAAGTGATGCGAGACGTGTACCCGACGCTTTAGGATCTGGTTCACTGCTTGATGTCGTGAAGTTTTTGGCGCAGAAATGTGGATCTCAGACTGTGATTTGCGCTACGAAATGTAGAGAACTAATTTTGGAATTGATGCCCCTAGTGCCAGGTTAGTATTGTAGCTGTATTGTTTTGGTTTGTGAATATGTGTAATGTAACTGTTGTCAGGGTTAAATAAAAGAATAACTCCTCGAACCGAGGCCAGTCTGGATAGCGGGGTTTCCGGTTAAACTGACATCCCCAAAAACTCGTTAAAACGGACCGTTTGAATCTCTACTGTATACAGTATTTTACTTAAATTTAGGAGAGCATTTTATTTAGGCACGTGATCACTGGTCTAAAATCTTTCCCACGAAAACAGTCGTTTCAGTACCGCCCACTTCCTGCCGATCTAGTCTGGTTAAACCGATGTGATAAAAATTGTCTGGTTAAAGAGATGTCATTTCTGCCGAGTGTAGTCCAATTAAACCGATGTCCGGTTAAAAGGTGTCCAGACAAGAGGGAGTCTACTGTAGTCGTCTTTTGTTCACAATTAGAATAAACACAAATATCATAAGAATAAATGTAAATAATATTAATTATAACTGAAGCAGCAATATTAAGACAAAAATATGGAAATCCTACAGTAACCAATTGAAGCTGTACCTATATTTGGTGTTGTGTTTCAGATATACCTCCCCTAGATCAGCTGGTGGACATTGTAAGAGTTTGTGAGGGAGCAGGTAGTGGATTGATGCTTCCAATCCAGCCCGGTGTGTCCGATGCCGATCATCTCCGAGCCAGTATCGACTGCTACGCCTGGTGCATCAAGAAGAGTTTTATTCCTCCATTTGTCGCTATACAATCTCCAAGCAGGTAGATTTATTTGGAGTATAACTTTCTCCGATAATTAGTTTGAGTGGAACTGTGCTAAGATTATCTCGCATATACAGCGTCAGCAGGATGTTTGGTAAATATAAAAGGTCAGATGAAGAGTTTACTGTGCCACAAAGTAATATTCATAACTAGAATGACGGAAAGTGTTTCATTAGATACTTTATTATTATTACAGTATTCCCAAGACCCATGATTTAGTTATAAATGTTTTTTCTATTTGAAGTGTGACTAAATAATTACAATATTGAATACCTTTAGATTAGCGTGCGCCTGTTTGTTCTTACGTTGTGTTGATGTGCTAGAGGGATTTTTATTTTTGGTAGAAACATGTAGAACTAGTTTTATCAAAATAGCTATGTGTCATGCAGTTTAAAGCAATTCAGCTAGTCTTGTATCTACAAGTAATGATTGTATTAAGGCAGATTTTTTACTGATATTTGATTGAAAATAGCTACACCACCTGCCAATAGTCGTGTGTAAATAATAAATCGGGATTGACATACATTTTTAAACCCATCTATGGGGGTTTGATTCACATTAAAATTGTGCACAACCTCTTAAATATAGCAAGTTGGTTGGTTAATCAGGATCCACATTTATAGTAGATCTGTGAATGAGTACATTTCTTATTTATAAATTTTCTTCAGTGAATTCTACTAACCATCCATTCAACATTTCTTTTTCTTACAGGCTAGTTCCATGTGTAGAGTACTTTGTCAACATGTTGGACTTGACAGTGGTACCAACATTACTATGCTCCAGACAAGATACAGTCCTGATGAAGGCCAAGTGTGGTGTAGTGGTAGCACTGTTTGATCTACTAGCACTCCTATACTCACAAATCAAAAAACTTCCTTACACCTTTTTCCAAAGGAATTTCTGGAAATTGCTTGCAATGTGAGTGTAACAGATTTTATCTTCACATATAAGTATTACTTTGCTACCCCTAATATTCTTTTGTAAAATTATAGGAAACAATAAAAAGTTAATTCACTTTTTTGTAATTGAAATAATTGTTTGGTAATATGTACAGGAGTCGGGGGGCCAGACTTTTGTACTTTGTTAGTCGAGTCAGGTAAAAAAAGGTTAACCCTCAGGTCTTAGGAGATTGTGAAAATAAAAGCTCGGTTAGGCTTGACCCAACCTGATTTTGACCTGAAAATTATTTCCAGCTCTAACAAAATTTAAAATGCCCATGTTATTCTTATGGAGAACAAGTAAACTGTTGTAGTTTGCTTGTTTATGAACATATTTTAATCAAATTTGGAAAATGTTTTCATTTCTTACTAACTATTAACATTTTACAAAAAAAAAAAAAAAAACTGTTTTACCCTCCCTGATGCAGCAAACCTAGGTACTTGTTAAACTAATTCTATTTAAATAGGAAATAAATGTTATATTTTTAAGTAGGTAGACATTTTAGTGTAAATCCAATCAGGCAAATGGAAATTCGCATAGTCTGCAGGTTTGCTGCAGCGGGGGGTATTGTAACTATTTAGGTCTAAAATGAATTTTTATCCCTAAAATCCTTTTAATAGTAGTAGTATTCATTAGTTCACCTTCATTGACCAACCTATGTTTCGTAAAATGTTTAATTTTACCAATAGTTTTATCCAGTGCTTGATTTGTAAAACATGAGGTGCTGGAACTGTAACCTATTTGATGTAATTAGTACCTATATTTATGCCAGTATTTTAATCTTTCCGAAAGAGAGGTACTGGAATACCGTTCCGTCGTGTTCTGCCACAAATCGAGCACTGGTTTTATCTGTGTTTATCTTAATATAAAAGTAGAATTTTACTCTCATGTTTGAGTTCTTTTTCGTTAATTCACTACCACAACTGTTTTTATTGCAAAATTCCGACATTTTCAACAGTCAGCCTAATCTGTGAATACATCAATTATAAAATTAAACTACTCTAAACTAACTTAACCAATGAAACTTGCTGATCATGAAACAATCCTGTTAGTGAATAAACGGAATTGCAATAAAAAAGTGGTAGTGAATTAATAGAAAAGGACCTATATTTTTGTTTTGAAGAAACCTGTTACAGAAGTACAAACTAAATTAAACCAGAGGATTTAAAAAGTTTACTTCTTGAAATAGAAATTTCAAACCATTTAAAATTTACTATATCCAACATTAAATTTATTATTTTTAAACTTTTTTAGAAAAGTGCCATATATCATCATTAACTTTTTCATCAGCTGATTTTGTTTTGTCCCAAAACCCTCTGAATAATGGTTATACATTAATAGTAATAAATTTGTCGTATGGCTTGTAGGTGTATATTCAGCTCACAGAACGTGGGGTTGGATTGGCGAAACAAGGAGCTCGCAGAACACCTCTCAGACAAGATACGCCTGTTGTTGTGCACACTGAGAGACCAAATGAAACCAGCTGATCTGGAGAATATGTACGAGGCGTTGTCTTCACAAGTGTTGTATGATTGTACAACATGTGTGGAGCGCCTCAGCCTCATGTGCCAAGGACTGCAGCCTCTTGAACTCAAGGACAAGCAGTACGTCGATGGACTGATCACTCTTTATAAAACAGACTTGCTTCAACACTTGAAATTTGTAAGTTCACGTTGATTTGAGCTTGAGCGCTACATTAGAACTGTAGACAGAATAAATAGAGATTAGTTAGATGTTTTAAATCATTGTTCTTGTAGTTTGAGTCGCCCATTATTTTAATTTTCCTAGTTATAAAAATACAAAATTTTCTCCGTAACCAATAACCGTACAAAAACTCTTTGGTATACTAAATTATTTTTTTTGCTCTTTAAAATGGTGTAGAGAGAAATTGGGAGATTTTGTTTTTTGATGGCCAAAATTGAGAAAAACTCATTTTCACCCCATAAAACCCCCCGTAAAATCCTGTTCCCATGGTCCGATCATGCTAGTTCGCAAACTCATTCAAGTTTATTTCGCCTTACACCTTCAAACCAAATTTCATCAAAATCGGACAAAAATTACTCAAGTTATTTCTTTACTATGTATAAATTTGAATGAAAAGTGTTTTTGATTCCAAGGGACATCAACATGAAAAAGGATGGCTCCAGGTCTTACCGTGCCACTTACGGTAAAAGCTACTTCCCTATAAGGAAATTAGGTTTGGCATAGAATTTAGGGGTTTTTAAATAATATTGTATTGTAATATGGTTGACACAATTCTGTAACATGTGAGGAATGAATATTTTCCTCTCCTGTTTTGGGTGTTGACTACGCCTTTTCATCTTCTCCTATCTCTCCACAGATCTTCTTCCAACATCTTTCAACTCTTTCCTTCTCTACACCCCTCATCATATCATCATTATCACCTTTTTATCACCATTTAGAATTTCTGTTTTCTCACATGTCCAAAGCATACCTCTTATGCTTTTTTACCCTCCACGATCTGCTATCTTACATCCGTCCCACATTATTCATGGTCTTACTATTTAGATCTTTCCTTCACAAGTCCAAACTGTTTTAGTCTTGCTTTTTCTCATATTGCTTGTAAGCTTTCGTCAACCACGCCCACCTTGTTTCTCCAGCTTGTAACATTGTTATTGTTGTTGTTATTGTTGTGACATTGTTATTGTTGCTCAGGGACGCACATGGTATGGCAACACCCTACTGAGGGGAGTATTCAACAGTCTGTTTGACTCTGATGAACTGCCCTTGCATCCAGAGTCCTCTGTCAAAGGGTTTCAACAAAAACTGCTACACCTGGCCTTCCTACTGGGTGCTGAGGTAAGTTCTATCAAATCAGACTACCAACATAGTGTTTGTTAGTATAGTTGACCTGGATGAGAAAAACAGTGTCTATTTTGACACTAGAAAAAAAAAACTTCATAATTATTAGAGTTAACTATCACTGGAGCATTATTTTCGTCCAAGGAAGTTGTAATGGTCACATTTTATTGGGGGGTTCGTTTTAATTATTTAAAGGCCGCGAAGGCTTGAGCGCGCTTGACAACAATGTCACACATGTCCACTGCAGCTGGTCATGTCTCCTAGTTCGAGACTCGGCCGCTGTCACCTTGAAGCGCTGCCGTAGACGTGGTGGGGAGAAGCCGAGACCAGCGGACAGTGGACAGTTCTTGAGACAGTCGGCGTCGAGCGTTAGGTTCGCGCACACCAACCAACCCTCCTTAGGCCGTGCGAGCGAACCAAATAATAAGGTATCCGGACGAAGGCGAGAGTAACCCGGATGCAAATCTGGAAGTGTCGTGTTACGTAAGTACACTGTATATAGCTAGCGTATACATTGTATTCATCCCCGTATCCACTTTGGCGAGGGAAATTGCGTTATTTATTAGGCTATTCTAGGACGTTTATCGTAGTTTATTATAGAATAACGTAGTTTATCGACCGACGCTGCGAGTGTAGTGTCGCAGTCACATACGCCGACTTTTAGTCATCCAAAGTGGTTTTGTTTTATTGTAATCAGGAGTTTTTATTTATTTTCCTTAAAGCCAAGAAGAATTGGTCTAGGTGCCTTCTACGTTTTGTTTTATTTCATTATTTACTTATCGCGAGTTAGCGTCGTTTTCTTTTAATTCCGAGAAGATTATTTTTAGTTTTATTTCGAGAAGTGAGATCTTTCGTTAAGCCTAGGAGCTGGTTATTTATTTTATTTCCTAATCGTCGCCTATTTATCTATCAGCCCTAGTAGTTAGCTTAGACTTGGCCTTGTCAGCGCGTCGCTGTGCTGACACCAAGTTATAGGAGTAACTATAGTTAGTGTATTCCTTAATAGCAACTCGTGTACGGTGCGTCGACGTGCCGAGGTACACAGTGTGTACTTGTGTACTAGCAGATCGGCGCGACATTAACATCTACGAAGATCCAGAAGTGGGAAGCGAGCGACGAGGATTGTCAGCGAGACCCTGGACTACTCGAGCTGTCCGAGCAAATCGGAGGTAAGTTTACGATAGGTGCCCTACCCGACATAAACACCTCACAAAGTGGCGCCTCCGAACAGGGACATTGAAAGTTTCGTTATTATCGTAATATTCATACGTGCTTCACGTATTGGCGCCCGAACGGTAAAATCGATATCGTAGTGGTTTTTTCTTTGGAATGTAAGAAAAAGCGAAAATGGTAGGATCGAGTGTTAGCGCGAAAACTACGCCTAAAACGGTCAGAGCGGTGACTGAATCGACAGCGACAACTACGACTACGAGTGCCGGGTCTTTACAAGCTCAAGTAGCACAAACTATTTCACAACCAACTGTGCCATCGACTTTAAGTTTTCCCGCTACGACCGCAGAGGCTACTCAGCCTCAAGTAGGTACAACGACGACACAGTTAATGGTACCAACGACTTTAAATTTACTTACTACGACTGATCGTACGTTGACGTCTAAGAGTCCCTCAGAGGATGACCCGCGAATTGGGTGGATTCACACGTTAACCAAGGATGAACTTCGTTACGAAATGAGTCGATACGGTTTGCCGAATATGGGGACAGTCGAGGAACTTCGAAAATCTTTTTGTAAATTTTGGAAACATGGCATTCCCCGAGCAGTGTACGGTAAGGACGTGAATGACAGCGTGGACGGTGCGACTTCACTTCCACTCGGCTATGACACGGGATATGTCGACTCGCGACCAGGTGCCAGTGACATACGAAGTGCGGAACTTGACAGAGTACGGGAGATAGTTGGTTTGCCTCCAGGAACCAACTTTGAGGACGTTTGTCGTTCGTTATCAAGCCTAACAATGCGCGCTGATAACAATCAGGCCAACAATCAGGCTAGTAATTATCCAGTCAATATGACACAATCAGATCGTTTTACAAATTCCGAGGGGTTAGTGTATAGTACACTAACCAGACCAAGTGTTAACTATGCTTTCGACACCTCCCACTCTACAGATTCGATTAATCGAACTACGGTGCCCGGTACCGGTCAGCGACCGTACGGTGGGTTCGCGAGCGAACAACTAGGTATTGCTACACAGGCAAGCGTGAATCACGGATTCAGTAGTGGTTTGCCTTCGTGTCACGAAAATTCGAACGTAATTCGTAAGGTTGGCGTTGACGTTTCGGCGTTGTGTAATTTAGTTCGAAAGTGGAACGTTCGTTTCGACGGCTCTAAAGACCCCGTTTCTTTCTTGGAACGCCTGGAAGAGCTTATGGAGGCCTACGAAATAAATAAGAACGATATTATACGAGCACTCCCCGAGCTACTACATAGTAATGCACTGTTGTGGTATCGAAACTATAAAGACTCCTGGCATAATTATGAGTCATTTAGATCGAGTTTCGAGCTACAGTTCCTACCACTGGGATACCAGCGAAATCTAGACGAAGAAATTCGGCGTCGGACTCAAGGTGACAACGAAGCTTTTAGAAACTTTGTTGTGGCTTTAACTACTCTCATGCGACGCAAAGGAACCCTCAGTCTCCACGAACAATTGAATATTTTGTATACGAATATGAGACCCGAATATAAGTTGACGATGAGGAGACACGATTTTTTCTCGGTCGACGAAATGCTCAGACAAGCGGAACACGTTGAGAGCTATTTTAGGGAAAAATCTCTTTTCCGTCCCCCTCCTTCTCCGTCGGCAGCGTTGGTCCCCGAAACGGCTTATCACCCGAGACGAGGACGCGATAATAAATCAGGAGATGATCTCGGAGTTTCGACGATTGGCGAGTGTCAGTCATCGAACGGCGTGACGGGACGATTAACCGAGAAGCGCGTAGGCTTCCGGTCAGAGGCAAGACCACGTAGGTCACGAGAGAAATCTCCGAACCCCCGGACGGGTAATTTTACGAGGACTTCGTCGTCTACAAAACCACGACGTAACTCGGAGCGTGAGCGCGGAGGTTCACCCCGAGAAAACAATGCAGTTCCGCGATGGCCGAATAACATGAGAGAAAAATCATATCTCACATGTTGGAACTGTGACAAGAAAGGCCACATGTTTCGTGACTGCCGTATGCCAAGAACTCCAAAGTGTTTCTATTGTAAAAAGGTGGGTATCCGAACCCATGATTGTCGGTGTCGAGAAAATTACCAAATGAGGTCAACTGAATCCTCAGTAGTGCCTTCTACGAAGACCTCCCCGGACTGGTGCGCTTGGTTAGAGAAAATTAAGAAATTCCCGGAAACCGAGAACGCTCAGATTCAGACTAACGACAGACGACCGCACGTATCGGTGACGATAGCAGGGCGAGAGTTCGCCGCGCTAATAGATACAGGTGCCGTAGTCACGTTGATCGGCACGGCGGTGGCACGTCACTTGGAACAGTCTGGAATTATGTCTGTTTTGACTCCTATGGTAGTGAGACTCGCCAACGGTAGTTATTCGAAGTCGCACAAGTCCTATCACTTCAAAGGTCTATTGAAAGGACGAATGGAAGAGTTTCATGCTCTGTATCTTCCCACGCTTACCAGTGACATAGTTCTCGGGATCGATAGTTTAGACCGACTGAACTTGGTAACATACCACTTGGAGGTAGAGAATACGAGACCGGACGCGGCTGACGGAGTGAACGAACGGCACGGTGTTGAGGCTCAGTACCAGACAGGTACCGCCAACAATGTGGCTGGTGCGTTATCGCGACAGGCCGAAGGTGTCGCCGAGTATACCTCCATCGAGACAGCGGTGTGTCCCCTTCAAGTATGCGTTAACTCGGCCGCTAAAACACCAGGGAGTGATCCAGAAAGGTTGAATAAACGATCTGGTGGCACAGACAGATGGTACAATAAACTTTGGACCAAGGTGAATGTTAGTCCCGGGAGTTTCGATAAATACATTATTCGTAGCGGCAAGCTATTTCGGTTGAACGGCCGGAAGGATACGGACGGTGATATTCGCGATTGGAGAAGGAGGATGGGTGTTCATAAAAACAAGCGCCAAATGTTCGTTGCAAGTAGAAAGGATAATCGACCGTCGCCGAGTGATATCCATGTCAAGCGTAGGAACAGTTTCCTGAGGTTGTGCGATACAACTCAGCCAAATCGTAGATTGAAATCTAACTTTGACGATCAGGCCAACACTTCTCTTTTACGTAGGGTTGAGAGGAGAGCGTTCTCCCCGCCAGAGAAGAAGGGCCGAGCGTTGGGTGCGGGGATGGTTTGTCGCCTCGCCCACTAGAAGAAGCGTTTGTACGAGCGAAGATACCTGTAGGCAGGTACCTTTTTTTGTTTGTTTTTTTTGTCGCCAAAGTGAAAAGGGGGTGTAATGGTCACATTTTATTGGGGGGTTCGTTTTAATTATTTAAAGGCCGCGAAGGCTTGAGCGCGCTTGACAACAATGTCACACATGTCCACTGCAGCTGGTCATGTCTCCTAGTTCGAGACTCGGCCGCTGTCACCTTGAAGCGCTGCCGTAGACGTGGTGGGGAGAAGCCGAGACCAGCGGACAGTGGACAGTTCTTGAGACAGTCGGCGTCGAGCGTTAGGTTCGCGCACACCAACCAACCCTCCTTAGGCCGTGCGAGCGAACCAAATAATAAGGTATCCGGACGAAGGCGAGAGTAACCCGGATGCAAATCTGGAAGTGTCGTGTTACGTAAGTACACTGTATATAGCTAGCGTATACGTTGTATTCATCCCCGTATCCACTTTGGCGAGGGAAATTGCGTTATTTATTAGGCTATTCTAGGACGTTTATCGTAGTTTATTATAGAATAACGTAGTTTATCGACCGACGCTGCGAGTGTAGTGTCGCAGTCACATACGCCGACTTTTAGTCATCCAAAGTGGTTTTGTTTTATTGTAATCAGGAGTTTTTATTTATTTTCCTTAAAGCCAAGAAGAATTGGTCTAGGTGCCTTCTACGTTTTGTTTTATTTCATTATTTACTTATCGCGAGTTAGCGTCGTTTTCTTTTAATTCCGAGAAGATTATTTTTAGTTTTATTTCGAGAAGTGAGATCTTTCGTTAAGCCTAGGAGCTGGTTATTTATTTTATTTCCTAATCGTCGCCTATTTATCTATCAGCCCTAGTAGTTAGCTTAGACTTGGCCTTGTCAGCGCGTCGCTGTGCTGACACCAAGTTATAGGAGTAACTATAGTTAGTGTATTCCTTAATAGCAACTCGTGTACGGTGCGTCGACGTGCCGAGGTACACAGTGTGTACTTGTGTACTAGCAGATCGGCGCGACATTAACATCTACGAAGATCCAGAAGTGGGAAGCGAGCGACGAGGATTGTCAGCGAGACCCTGGACTACTCGAGCTGTCCGAGCAAATCGGAGGTAAGTTTACGATAGGTGCCCTACCCGACATAAACACCTCACAAAGTTTTGAGTTGGGAAGTTTGTTATCCTGGTAAGCCTAGTGTCCTAAGAATGCTGTAGAGTCTAGGCCTTGTACTCTATTCCATCCTCACATCCTCAAGTTTTGAAGTTTTTAATTTATTTATGTTCGTAATGTATTCTACAAATACAAAATAATGTGTCTGTGTCTTTTATATTATTTTTGTGTTTGCTGGTACCTCTATGAGTATGCTTTTCTGCGTAGCATTCATTTTGCAATTTTTATTAATAAATAGAAAATTTTTTTATTGAAATCACCATCACACATGACGATATAATACAACTGTTTATTGATTCATTAATAAGTATTGCAAAAGGTAATCAACAAGTTTTTTATTTTAAAACACTGAAAGGTAAAGTCTGGTGCGATTGAAAGCAAATTATATACAGGGTGAACAACTTAACTGCGTCACCATAGTTGTATCAGAAACTTATTTAGAGAAAACAGAGAACTTAAACTATTTTTATGACATTAAAACATATTAATTCCACTTATTAAAAAATGGCTGAGATTTTCCAAAATGGCAGCTAATAACAAAATTCTTATGAAACACCCTGTAAATGTGATTTAAAATTTAAAAACAGTTTTATTCCAAATATTTTTTTCAAAAATAACTGGTTTAGTACAGCGTGTTAAACCTAAAAAAAACTGTTTCCTGTGTACATTCCGCATCCTGTAGCTCATAAACAATATGGAGAGGAACTTCTAAATGAGTATATA